CCGGAGCATGACGATGCATACGAGCAGGGGGGCTATTCGATATACTCGTAGCATAGTATGATGGTTGAGATGTTATGTACGTACGTACGAATATTGCAGTGATGAGATGCGGAGGAACAGGAACTTTCTACATATTTTCCTTGGTTGTGAGAGGCTTTTGGTGAGGATTCAGAGAGATTCGTTGTGTGAGAAAGCATGAAGGCGTGACTCGATACCGTGATGGTTTGACGAGCACGAGCACGCCCCCGATGAATACAACAAATACAACACGACAACACGGATACAACACGTCTGTACGACTTTACCTACCCCTACGGCCCGTTATGGCCGAGCTGCTCTACACTCCCATCGCACACAACTGAGCCACCCGAATTATCGATCATGTCTGCGAGCTTTAATCGTGTGCGTGAGTGATGCTTCAACCAAAGGGAGCGAGAGCCTTTACCATCAAGTTCCGGTAGGTTGTTTTGTTCGGATATGGATGCGGGAATTGAGTGTGCGACTTGGACCACCCAGTGCATATCAGCAGACTTCTCCAGGTGGTGCGCCAGATCTGATGACCAGCGGTCAGCTGAATCTCGAGAAGGCACCGACCTGGAGCTAAGCGCGCGACCAAGGACTTCGGGGTGGGGTCGTGTAACATCACCATCCTGAGATTCTATGCCTGCTAATGTGCGTTCTGTGCATTCAGCTATTGCAAACGTGGCTGCTGCTGCTGCTGCTGCTGCTGCTGCTGAAAAGTCCGACCGCGAACATGCAAAAAGGCATGCGGCGAATCCCCACCAACACGAAGAGAGCTACGAGAAACATGCGAACCATCATGAGGAGTGTCGTGCGGCGTACAGGAACCGGGCTCGAGGCTGCAGTGGCGCTGCTACCTCGCGGCTTATCAGGAGCCGACATGCCTACGCAGGGCCAAGGCTGTTACCTTGCCACCACGCAGCAGACTGCAGGAAGCGAAGTAACAAAATCAATCGAACGCAACAATCAAGCAACACGCCCAAACCAAGAACGCCAGTGTAATGAGATTTGACTCCTTTAAGAACCAATCACCTTGGGGCTGTGTGGAACTCTCTTGTTCGGACCACACGTGCAGGTTGTTGTTGCGTTCGGTTGTTCGCTTTCTCTTGATTGACCCTTTCCCAGCCAAATCACAAGACCCCAAGCAAACACGATCACCGCATCGTCGGCCCTCTGATCAGAAGGGCACATGCCTCGGCATAAAGGCCAAATCTAGCATGACGTCACGTCCTAGCATCTGAGAGTCAGCTGCCACGCTGGGCACATGAACTATTCACGAGCACGGTTGGCACTGCGATTTTACCTCGACCCAGTTTGTACCGAGTGCTTCCGTCGTCTGATGCTTGAAAACGGACAACGCAAAGGTATACAACAGCATATCTGCTGCTACCAAACGGTGAACGGCCGGGCTATTGTGAGCCCATTGAAGCACCTCATGTCGAACCCCCGACTGTAAGCCCGCATTGCTGTGCAGAGTGCTGTTCCACTCACGCACGGGGGACCGAACCCGGGCGTTGAAGAGCTGCATAGACAGGTCCCAGTGTTCCATAATACCGACTGCAGTATATCCAGCCAGAACATCCTGCGAAAGTCAGAGGGTACCAGAGCAGGCATTAGACGGGAAATCGATATTCCCACACGGGTGCTGTTCGGAGTTAGTGATGGCAGACCGACCAAGAGTCCAACAACGAGAGCGGTGATGAATATGCAAGAAACCCTGATTTTATGCGATGAAATGGTTTCCCGTAATGATGGCCATGAATCGACCAAAGAGCATGCCACGGGCCGAACAACTAGTGTCATCATCCAATGACCTCGACGCAAGTTAGATTCAGGATGAATACCGTGGCGAGATGTGCTGCGGACCGAAAGAGGAACACACGCGACGGCCTGGAGGGCCATCCTTTGTCTCTCCCTCTGAAGCTCCCGTTGTACAGAATGACGCAAGTCGATGAGATTACTGGGTAGACTAATGTATGAAAACATTTTTGGGTCATAAGCTACTACAGTACTGTTGTAGCTGTTTCTTTCGGTGTGCCATCACGCATCGCTGGTCCATGTCGATGATTGTCTAACATACAAGGAGAGACGACCAGATTATCGAAGGTAAAAAACACATGGCGTGACACCTGCCCAGCAAAGCTACCCCCATTTATGTCCTCGTAATGCTGTGCAGAAACAAATCCAGTTTGGGCTGTCAGTCACTCACCCAACAAAATGCCCAGAAGATAACAGAGATAGGAAACAGTCCTTCGAATCGCGAAAATATTGAATTTCCTGAACTACAGCATCCATAGCACCTCCAAACAGCAAGGTATGGAACACGAAAAAATTCCAGGGGTTAGTATGTACCGTAAGAGGTGCCTAATTTGTGAGGTGTCATCGTCGTCGTTGCCGTGTCTGAACACGCTTCTTACTTTTAGTACAGAAGAAAAAACTCGAGCTCGAAAATATTTTTTTCCTACACACCAGTGGTGTATGGACCAGACACCGGAGAAGGTTCACGTTCAGTCACGCGCAACCGATGAAGGCCGACGCGTGTCGCAGGTGATTGACAGCACGGAGCATAGACGCGCAGCACGCGTCAGCCGTACGTGTAGATCTACCTCAAGCCATTAAGCGGTAGCGCAGCTTTGGTAGCACGCATGTATGTATCTACACCACGCTGTTTTACGCTGCAGCAGCACGCACAGCAACAGATACACATGTTCAATCACGCACATAAAACGGCCGACATACGTCGCAACTGATTGACAGCACAGACTAGACGCGCAGCGCCGGTCGGCCGTACTTGCAAGCCTACCGCAAGACAACAAAGGTTAAGCGCCGGTATGCATATGGACAACGGCACCAACGCGTGATACAGCACACACAGACGTACGCGGCAGCAACGTTTTCCTTTTCGCGCAATAAAAATCCGCATGACACGACACAAAGCACTCTACTGCTGTAGTCTGGTGCGTGTCCCTATCCATAACATCGAAAGCAGAGGGAGTTGCCGCCACTGTCGTGCGCCCAGCACACCAATCTGGAAACTACTGCTTGCTCGACGGTGCACACTATATAATACTTAGGGGGACTTTCCGCGGAAAATTCCCGAGGGACACTCCGCGGGAAGCGGAACGTCTCGCGAAAGGTCCGAAACGTCCCACGGGACATTCTGCGGAAAATTTCCGCCTTCCGCGGGACATTTCGCGAAAGGCGGAAACCCTTGCGGAAGGTTCCGCGGGACCTTACGGACTTTCCGCGGAAGCCTTCCGCTTCCCGCGGGCTGTTCCGGACTGATGGTATTTTAAGGTGTATCGTTCGTGACGATGGGACGCTCGCGATTTGACCTGCCTGCAGCGTTGTTCAATCGTAACGATTCATCGGAATGAGTAACGTAACCATATTTACTCGTAATCGCGATCATCTTCCGGTTTTTTGCGTTCTTGTACCGGGTGGTCCCGAGTTTAGGTCCGTGTGGCTTCAATCATTGTCCTACGCTTTGCTCGTGCTCTGTTTTGCGCTGGGTCCTTTGCATGGATCTTACGTGTGTTATCGTTGGGCTGGTAGAGACGATAAAGATTTTTTCTCGTGCCTGGTGCTAACAATTTGACCTGCCGGTAGCGTTGGTCGTTGATGACAACCATTCATCGTAATGAGTAATTCAACCGGGTTTGCTCGTGATCTCGATCATCATCCAGTCATTTTGTTTCTTATCCCGTACGGTCCAGAGTTAAGGTCCGAGTGGCTTTGACCACCGTCCTCCCCTTCTTGGTGCTCGTTTGTACGCTGGGTGCCGTTCGTGGAATATATGCATGAACTCGGTGGGTCAGTAGGCATGTGCAAAGATATTTTCTTCGCGCAACTGTTAGAATCTTACAGGGCACGTCTTGTTCGCGACGATGGGACGCTCACAAGTGGACCCTCCTGCTGCGTGATCGTTGGTAACTATTCATCATCGGAATGAGTAACGTCACCGGGATTGCTAGTGGTCGCGATCATCATCCGGTCAAAATTGCATTTGCCATTGTCCCGTATGGTCCGGAATTCAGGTCCGAATGAGTTTATCCACTGTCCTACCCTTTCTCGGTGCTCTGGTCTACGCCGAGGGATTTCCAAGGGCCCTACCTATGTTATCGGTGGGTTGGCACAAACGTAATAGACAGGTGTTTTTTCGCGTACATGTAGGTTCTTGTGTTTGCATTTCTTCTCGAGGATGGCACGCTAACAAACCGACCTTGCCAGCCTATTGTCGAGAATGGGTGAAGATGGTATCAGAATTGCAACCGTCCGTCACGGTGGTTCTCGGTACGTTACCCGTCGTTCGAATGTGCTGCGTCTAAGGCGTGCGTTTGGAGCAAAGCACTCACATTGGTTTCGGTTCGTGGGCGTCCGAGTGGCTGGACAATATCGATTTTCCCCCTTTCTTTGTGTTATGACACAATTAAGAGCGCTTTTCACACATCTGGTGTGCTTATTCGAGGTGTGTGTCGTAAAGTGTAAGGAAGGTTTCATGGTGCGCACGTTGCTGGTCACATTCTTCTGTGCGTTTTCGCTTTGCGCCTGCCGGACGCTACTGGCGTACGTACCTGCAGGGCGACGAGTATGGGTTTGGATAGCGGTTGAATCGCAGTCCGTTGCCTGGCAAATTTTGACTTGTCGGTCCGTCCTTAGGAGTTTGCCTCATGCATGGTTTCCCGATCTCGTGCAAGACACAGCTAATCTTCTCTATTCATGTATGTCCGAGTAGACTATTCGCCCCCACCTCGCACTGTCAGAAGTGTCCGCGATTTCCTTAATCTGATGTGTGATTCTTCGGTGTGCTAGGTTACGACATCCGGGGACATGGGTATTGAACATTGCCATCAACCTCATCGTAGTACTCGTTGTCCTGTGCCTTTTCTACCAGGACGCCCCGGTCCGCCCCCGGAAGCCCTGGCGGTATCCATATTTTCGCTTCAAATGCAGCGACGCAATAATCAAAATGCCTATTTGATATTTTCGTGGTTGTGGTAGAATTTCTCGCCTTGTTTTTCACAGCTCGGCCTCGGGGTGATGCACAATTCTCACCCTGTCCTGGTGAAATCAATCCTTCACCCCAAAATGGTAACAGCCCATTCGCTAAACCGCCTTGCCTCGTCAGACAAAGGCGTGCAAGGTCCATTACTAGGCGGGATTATTTGCGCATTGGTTCATTGTGTCCGTGCCCTTTGTGTATGCTTTCAAGACACATCGCACCTACAGGTATGTACAAGTATAGTCGACTCTCATACAAGTCTTTGGACTAATCTCTTTCTTCGTCGACATGTTGCTCGTCCAGTTGATGCCTTCATGATGTGCGCGGTGGACAGCTTTCTTCCCATTCGAGTTCGTCTTTACTCCGGAGTGCTTGTTTCACTGTTGATCTTTGAATCGCAATATTTCGAGGCAGGTGCCTGTATGTACGGCGATTTCACAGGGTAAGCGCTATCAAAACTGCACGCTTCCTAACCCTGGCGATCCCTCGCGAAAACGACACAAATCTTCAGACACGTACACGACGCTGACCACTTTTCCAATGTCGTGATAGTGAAAATTAGTCTCAACATTGCCAACTGGTCGATTTATGATGTTCCATAAGAGTTCTCGCAGTGCGCGGCTTCGAACACGGTGGCGAGGTGTCCTATTCTTCTGTTCGTTCCCGTACGTGACAGTTACATTCACGCCGCCATAGCCACTGGGGGGCTAAAGGCCAGCCACAACATCTACATTATGAAACGCCACAGCCGCACCCACAACTAGGCTACGGCGGCCGCCCGTCGAATAGGTGGGACGGCAACCTGGTGAAATAATCACCGCGCACATATTAGTCGGGAACGACACGCGTAAACATGATGTACGAAAGAGAGTGGGTGAAAATAGTTCGTAGCGATGACGCCACGTCAGTATGTCGAAAAAAAGAATGCATATGTTTGGAGTGTAGATGGGTGAAATATGAAATATGTAGGATCGGGACGTCAAATAAAGTGATGAACGAAAAAAACGAACGTTTGTGCCATGATTATGATATTGGCACATCTGTAGTCGTTGCGAATAGCATCGACGACGATACCCGTGCGATCAATATTAGCTAGAAATGAAAAGAGCTGGGATTCTGTGAGGTGGCGTAGAGGAGAAGGCAAACCTAGGTGTCATGTATGCGACACAGTATAGCTCAGTATTGTAGTAACAAGTATGACTTGGTTGAAGGAAAAAAGGAGTGCACACACTAACCCTTTAGCACAAATTCAGATGGCGGTACAAAACAGTAACGCAATGTACACAAAGGGCGCACAACAAGGGAGCAACACAAGAGGCACTAATAGTATGGGGAAGTGAGATAATGGAGTAAGCTTTACAAGTCTAAATCTTTATGCTGGGCACGGTACAGACCGGGCCCCGAGATAAGAAACGTCAAAGTCGGGTCGAGCCTCAATTTCTTTATTTGGGCAGAAGGACAAGCCGAAGTCGGGGCAATTTCTTAATACGGATTTCTTTTTCCTTCGGGCTATCGCATCCTGCTGATTCTCGTATCACACCAGCAGCAGCGGCTGGTGAGAATAGCGCAGCCGGCGGCAGCGCTGGGGCGCAGGGGGCGCCGCGAAAATGACCCCTTTCCTCCCCTACCAATAGAGAGACGAAAATAATTTACCGCGTGTGTGTTCCGTATCCCGTGCCTCGGAGCATGATGCACGAGGCAGGTCGTGCCCGTTTGGCTCTCGCTCTGTGCTTTGCTGATCAGCACCACACCGAACGAACTCGCGCGTCAAGCGGTTCCGACCCTCTGTCGAGAGGGGCCGGTATCCTTTGGAGGCGGTGCCTATGAACGATGAGCGAGCGAGCGTTGGTGGTGGTTTGGTTGTGGTAATGAATGTGCGGTATACGGAATGTGCGGTTATGTTTTTTTTCTGCGGGTTTTACGCTAGAGCGTCGGGCACAGGGATAATGCGACCATTTCTGGGTACAAAATCGACTTTTTCCGGGTACGCCAGTAACCAATATCGGTCACACCAGAGGTTCCAAACTCCAGCGGTAGTTGTACCCGATGGAGGCTTCTTCCAAAATGGGTACAACGGTTTTTCAGCCAATCAGCTGACAGCCTAGGGCTGCAAGCGTATTGATTTCTAACTACCCTAAAGTGGTGAGTACGCACCCGGGAATATTCGTTTCTGGTAATGAGCCAGGTAGGGGGTGGGAACGTGGCAGCAGGAGCATCAGCGGGACGTTTCTTATTTGACACCGACGCTCCCGCAGCAACTTGTTTCTAACATCCATCTGGAGGGTATCACACGATCATGATTCTTATTGGGACGTTCCTTACGTTGAGGCCGAGAATGAGCCGAGTTTCTTAACCCTCTTTGCTTACTTTTCGTGAAAGTTGAGCCTTGTTTCCTTATTTTACATAAGTTTATCTTAATTGCGGGTCAGTTCTGTATGTCAAAACACGCATGCATGCATACAGATGACGACCAATAATTGTGATGTTTACTCTCCGGTCAAAGATAGATGTGGAGAGGATTCGTCTTGCCGACCAAGAAGGATCCTTCCCTGCTCGTCGTATACGCGCCAGGTCATTCCGTCTGCCTAACGGTATCTATGTTTACGTGTTCGTTTCGGGTGAGCTCGTCGGTGATGTGGATATCACCGCGGTGCAACTATTACCTTGGCCGACTTGCAAAGCTCGATTTACCAGCAGCAGGAAGAGTCACAGCGCCGACAGCGGCAGCATTGAAACCGTTCCGTCGAGAGCTTTTCGAACATGTTTCATTTCGTTTATGCATCCTCTTCTTCGTGGGGTATTGGAGCTTTGAAAATCGTGAAGGGGGGCGTGTTATCTTGAGTCATATACGGTAGTTATGGCTTGCGCCGGAACTTCGATCGTTTCGCCAGAACCAGTTATTATGAGGCGCAACACCCGTTGATTGGTTGATTGGTTGATCATTGATGCTCAATTGGCAGCTTCGATGTCATGCAATCTTCAAGAGGAAGTGTTATCCCATCCCTTCTCGAACTTGTAGCGACGGTATGCTGTTCTTTAGCGTGTGGACAGAGTGTTAGATCGTATCCATACGTCCGCAGTTTGAGGTAAAGTTACAGTGAGGGATGCTACAGAGCCCAGGAAATACGGAATGTTGGCCATGTGAAGTTTTACGGACGTTCACCACCATCAACTCGCCAACAATGGGGACGGAGGAATGCGCATTACGATGTACGGGCAACTGTCTCGACATGCGTGAATTTTCATCCGCCAACAAGCCGTATTGGATGAGTCAGGGCGAAACAGCACAAGAAAAATATCGAATTTTGGCCGAAAAGAAGCAAAAAGAAGATAAATAACGATAACAACATATTCGCCTGATTGAGAGCGAAGTATCTGATTGAGAGCGAGAGCCAAAAAAATTGAAATTTCGGGTCCAGACGCCTCTTGCCATTTCTTGGCAAGTAGGGGACGGGCTATTCCAAGAAGCGGTGCAAATTGAAGGTCTCATCAGCAGCTTCGCGAGCATATGCGTGTCATCGTCATCGGATGCTGCAGCGAGGAGCTAGACAAGTTGCTAGATTTGCCCAGATTGGCTATTTCTGCTCAAACTGTTTCAGGGCGGTATCGCGTCGGGCGGTGGGCTCTGCTGTAGCTTCTGCTCCCCGCTGTAGCTCCACAACGAGAGACTCCCACAGGATGACCAGGGTAGCGGCTTGAAGCTACGGGCTAGCCCTTCAATTCAAGCTACACAGCAAGCTCCACCTCTCAGTGGTAGTCCGGCTACAGCGTATCGCGCAATCTCGCTCTCAATCAGATGCTACGCTCTCAATCAGGCGAATATGTTGTTCGATGTGTCTTGATTTGAAACAAAGTTTAAACCATAAACACGCCCTTGCCTCATCACCTTCTCATTCGAGGTCCATTTGGTACGTGGACATCTGCTGCGACAATACTCCCGTGACGTGACGTGTCATTTGTTCTTGGAGAATACGCCTCCCTCTACCAGTATGGCCAGATCTGAGGCATAACGGCTCTTATGCCAGAGGCAAACATTCACAATTCGATTTCGGCAAGCAAACGGCGGCCACGTGAGGTTGCCACAAAAAAAAGCTGTGTGCGTGCGAATACATCTTTTTTCGATAACAACGTGCTACTCTCGCCAACTCTTTTTCTATGACTCGTAGTGCTTTGCAGTCTCGAACCACGATCGCAAGAAAGGTTCCAGACACCTAGCTACGGTCGGGTAGCTGTAGCATTGCTGATGCTTCACTCAGTAGAGATGTATTGCTGCAGAACCGAACGGCAAGAAGCGACTCCAAGCAGCAACCCCCGCTTTTACAAGATGTATGCTAGGCTGCAGCTACCTGCTGCTACTGCTGCTTAGATAGCACCTCCAAGTGTCTCGCCGTCCCGGTCACACGACGGGAGGCAGCATACACGCAGACACTGGGGGAGGTCTTTGCCGTTGTTACTGCTACAGTCTATGCGAGTTTCATAACGGTACATCTACAATGCATACGACACATGGATGGGTACGAGTGTAGGCAGGTTGGAAGCGATCGGTAGCGACACTGTACACTTTCGGTGGTACATTTCCGTTCCGCAGTTACCGCGGGAAGTCTGGAAAGTCCCGCGGGACATCCCGCGTAAAGCGGAAATTTTGCGTCGGATAACCCGCGGAAAGCGGAGACTTCCCGTGGGACCTTCCAAACTCTCCGCGGAAAGGACGTCAAATAATGTCCCTCACCCTGCTTGCTGTGCGCCCGCCCTTACAGTACTAGTCTCCCATACACGGTTTGCCGTCCGAAGCGCAGTTGCATTGGAGTAGGTGTCGCGAATACACGCGCAGCACTCGACACGCCTCAAGTTCAAAGCTGGGCTGGTCGCTCTTTTTCTGCTTCCCTATTTTTCCGCATGATGTCCACGTACGTATCAACAGCGTTTGTCCAGAGGTCCCTACGTAGTTCGTTTGTCTGTATGTCCATCACAGGTAAATATGTATACATTTTCGTGTTGTAGTTCATGCACACAAAATACTTGCTGTTCTTTTGGTTCCTTACCATGGGGGCCACGGTGTTGTTATGTGTTCGAAGTCAAAAATGATTGTAATCGCTCTACATGTTGTTGTTATTGTTTCTCACACTAGCTCTATAGTCCACAACAAATGGATAGAAAGAAAAGGACAGCTGCCGCACCGACCGGTCGAGAAAAGAGCCCTCGGAGACCGATCAAAATAGACACACGCCTACAGAAAAATCAAAGGGTAACGTACCAGCACCAGGCACTACGCACCAGGGTACGAGAGTAACGGAGCCATCAGGACAAAGCGGACAAAAAGGCGGCAGATGGGCAGACAGCCAGATGTATAAAAACAAAAGCAACAGCACAAGGGAGATCAAGGAACCCAACACGGCAGGGTAGGTAGGGAGGACATGAAAAAACGAAACACAGCACAGCGGCCAAATGCAATACAAAGGACACACATAAAGGAGTAAAACAGGGCGCAACAACACCAGCCGGGAACATAGTTCGCCACAAGCGCTGCCTCGGCCGCCCTACCCGCTTTTTCCCGCCCTCCGCCGCTTTCCTGACTCTCTTTCTCGTTGGTTCCGTGATGGCCGTACTCTCTGCTTCCGCTTCTCTCGCGCGCTGGCGGTTCGTGGACGCTTCGGCCTCCTGCCTGTACCATTTCATCATGAACCATGCCGCCCCGTCCTCGACTTGTTGTACCACACCTCCGGCTCCTTGACGATCTTTTTCCATTTCCCCCCTTCCTTGTCGTCTCCCATCTTGAAGGCCACGAGGTCCTCTCTCCTAGACGAGACGCACAGTCGCTCGCCTGCCCACCCCGGGGTCTCACGCCCCCTGCCATCGCTCCTGACAGCATGCGCTTGGGGAGGCAGTTGTCCTCCATGCGCATAAAAAATCCCGCGAAACACAGAAGTCTCCGTTTTTGCACGGTGGCCTCGATGGTTTCCTCGCAGCCGGCCTGGATGGGGGCCTGTGCATAGGACAGGGGGCGGTCTGAGCGTTTGCGCTTGCTCCAGCCGATGCACCGTGTAAGGAACTGGCGGTGGGTCCCATTGAGCTTCGTGTAGTGCTCCGCTGTTAGGCTCTACGAGGCGCACCCGTATAGGAAAATCTCCACCACTTCAGCCTGGAGTAGCCGGATTTTGAGCTGGCGGTCGGCCCGTCGCCTCGTCGTACGTCGAAGCACTGTTCTGGCGGTAGCACTTCCACGCTCGGCAGCTGCGGCTCGTGATCTCCCGGTCAGCCTTCCCGTCCGCGGAGATGGTGCGTCCGAGGTACACAAACCGATCTGTCTGCATGTAGGTATGGCCGGCGGCGCTGACCGTGAACGGACGTTCCCCGATCCCGTTCGGCAGCATACACATGATCTCCATCTTTGGCTCCGATACCATCAGTCCGAACAGGCCGGCCACGCGCACGATGGCCGACATCATCTTCTCGAAACTCTCCGGCGAGCGCGAGACGATGGCCGCGTCGTCAGCGTAGAGCATGGCCCACACGGCCTCCGCGTCGTCACCACCGTCGTCTTCTTCCCCGCCGACCTACCCTTGCTGCCCGTGTACTCGACTTGTGTCTCGATCTTGACCATGTCCGCCGTCACNTCCCCGCCGACCTGCCCTTCTTGCCCGTGTACTCCACTTGTGTCCCGATCTTGACCATGTCCGCCGTCACCTTGGGGTCCTTGTCGAACTCGGCCACGGCGACCATGAGCATCGCGGCAAAGAACAAGTTGAACAGCAGCGGGGCCAGGTTGCATCCCTGTCGGAGGCCTTGGTCCACCTCGAACCATTCCGAGTACTACCCGTGGTCCGTTCGGACGCGCGCCCTCATGTCCTCATCGAAGTGGCGAATGATCGCCAGCATCTTCGGGGGCACGCCAAAGCGTAGGTGCACGTCCCATAGTAGGTCTCAGTCCACTGAATCGCATGCCTTGGTGAGGTCGACGAAGCACGCGAACACCGCAGTATTCTTCTCCCTCGCGAGCTCATGGAGCCGCTGGATGGCGAACAGCATGTCGAGCGTCGACCGGTGTGGGCGGAAACCGCTCTGCTCCTGCGTGAGGATGCCCTCTCGCTCGCAGTAGTGGCTCAGTCGTGTAGCGACGACCTTAAGCCGCACTCCATCGTGTCCCCCTTCTTGAACAGCACTCTGATGGTGGCATCCTTCCACTGCTGTGGTACGTCCCCAGTCTGCCACACGTCGACGACAATGGCGTGGAACTCGCGGAGGAGACCTTGATCTCCGTCCAGAAAAAGCTTGATCAGCTCAGCCGGTAGGTCGTCCGGCCCGACGGCCTTTCCGTTGGCCGTTTTCCATACCGCTCCCTCAACATCAAGTAGAGATGGGATGTCGTCGAGTAGCACGCACGTGGGCCACCGCTTTACCTTGTCAGCCGCATGCAGGTCGATAGTCGGCGACTTGGTGTTGAGAAGCTTGTGAAACCACCGTGCTCAACGTTGGCGAACAAACGTGGGGTCCCGAAGGACCTTGCCGTCCTCGTCCTTGATGTTCTGAGAGGTAAACGTCGACGTCGATCATCTTCACATGCCTTTAGAAAATGCCTGATCCCCCTCGCACCTCTTCTTCTCGAGCTGCCGTACATAGCCCTCGAAGAACGTTTCCAGTTCTCTCCACCTCGCGATGCTGCGCTTCTTCTGCGCCGCCTTCAGGGTCACCTCGCAGGCGCTGTTCTTTGAGGGCCAACGCAGTTGCTGCTGGGCCGCCTTAATCTCCTTAGACGCTTGAAGATCCCGTGCTGCGCTTCGTTCGTGTACCAGCCTCTCTGCCCTCGTGCGCACCTCGCAAGCGGCGCGGTCTCAGCAGCGGCCGACATCACCGTAGCCGTCAGTTCGGCGGCGGCCTCTCCTGTGCGCTGTGGGCGGAGGGCGGCTGGAGGCCCTGTTTTGGAAGGCGACCCGTAGGTGTTTGTCCTTCCTGTGCGGACAGTTTCCGTGGGGGCGTACCCCACCACGAGAGTTAATCCGCAGGTGCAGCCAATTTGTAGACGCACCTTCATCAGCCTCGAGCCAATGCACTCCACTGTCCTACCTTCCTCGCCCACACGCTCCCACATGGCCTCCTTGATCGCTATGCCCACACCGTGTAGGCCCCTCTTGTCCTTGGTGCCAGCACGGGCGCCACTCCAGATGATCTCCTACCCGTCGTGAGCAATTGAAGTCCCATAACATCACAGCCGGTCACGGAACAAATCTGCATGACCGTCATCACGTTGTGGCCGATGGGGTTCCTACCGCTGTAGGCGAGCGTGCGTGCGTTGAACGTGCCGAACGATAGGCCGCCCTCTTGTGCCTTCTTCTTCGCAGCCGCCTTGACGGCCGCTCCGTCTCGTGTCTCACTCGGTCCACCTACCGTTCCGGTGAGTTTTCTTCCGTATTATCCGAGCGGCGAGTTTCCTCGCATCAATCCATCTCTGCAGAGCTCGGTTCTTGCCTGTGATGCTTTGACAAGGAGGGTGCAGCACTCCCTCCCCGCGGTGCCCGCGGTTGTCTCCCTTCTCCCGCGAGCGGTGCTTACATACGTGGTGTTTTCGAAGCTCTCTAATCCTCCAGCTTGGTGGGCCCGCTTTCCGCGACGGTGGTTGCCAGGTGCAGTTTGCCGCTTTGCATTTACAGCCGGGGGAACAGTGTCCATACACACCTCTCGTCACCACCACCGTCTGTGCATCCACACCGCCACGCTCAGCAAGCGCGGCGGTGAGTTGCACCTTGTGCACTGTATGTGTAGTGCTTTTCGTTTCTCGGGTCACTATTTTTCCTTTTCAACAGTATTATGTACTTCATCAACTTGTGGATCGTCTAATACCGCACCGAATGAAGGATGTGGATTGGCGACGCGCGTCTTGGTATTATTGGAAAACTAATGAATGGTGCATGAATGATAATGATCAAATAGGACCCGCACTTAAGATTAATTCGGTTAAGGATAAGGCTCGACTTGTAACAACATATTCGCCTGATTGAGAGCGAAGTATCTGATTGAGAGCGAGAGCCAAAAAAATTGAAATTTCGGGTCCAGACGCCTCTTTCCATTTCTTGGCAAGTAGGGGACGGGCTATTCCAAGAAGCGGTGCAAATTGAAGGTCTCATCAGCAGCTTCGCGAGCATATGCGTGTCATCGTCATCGGATGCTGCAGCGAGGAGCTAGACAAGTTGCTAGATTTGCCCAGATTGGCTATTTCTGCTCAAACTGTTTCAGGGCGGTATCGCGTCGGGCGGTGGGCTCTGCTGTAGCTTCTGCTCCCCGCTGTAGCTCCACAACGAGAGACTCCCACAGGATGACCAGGGTAGCGGCTTGAAGCTACGGGCTAGCCCTTCAATTCAAGCTACACAGCAAGCTCCACCTCTCAGTGGTAGTCCGGCTACAGCGTATCGCGCAATCTCGCTCTCAATCAGATGCTACGCTCTCAATCAGGCGAATATGTTGTTTTGTAAAGAAATACATCAAAAGAGGGCTGAGAAACAATCTCGGCAACAACATAAGAAACGCCCCAAAAAGATACATGATGGTGCGATACCCCCAAAGGGCTTGAAAACGTGGCTTCGGCTGGTCCTTCGACCTATAAATGATGGATGGAGCCTCGACTTTGCCCTCAAAGAACAAAGGGCAGAAATGACAAAATGCGAAGTACTTGTGAGACAAAAGAAACTTAGATGAACGCGACATTCCAAAAAAGTAAGAAATACTTCGTAAGAAAATGGAAGACTTCGGCTGGTCCTTCGACCTAAAAATGATGGATGGAGCCTCGACCCTATTTTGACGTTTCTTGACTGGGACGCTAGCTGTATTAGTGTGCCCACGAAATGAACTGGTATAGCATGTACTTCATTTTTTTTTCGTGTCGTGGTCTAGTAAATGATTGACGGCATCGACCGTAGCCGCGCAACACACGTCGACCGTTGTCGCAGACTCCCTACTCGACATCTGTCACACCTTGTGCCCCCCCCCCGCCCACTTGGGGCGCGGGGGACGATCCTTCACCCTCCTGTGCCCTCTCGCTCGTCGCAAACGTCTTCACGTATTCATTGCGTCTCGATACGCCGTCTCTTCTTGTGCTTCTATCGTGTCGTCTTCCTTCTTATTCCAAATTCCCCCCCAAACCCTCACCGTCTTCATCCCGGTGTGGCCACCCGCCCCGTTGGGTGGGCGGGGGGCCAATACTTAACCCTAGTAAATGGTACCCCGATTTCAGCGGGGTTGAAGGCACTTAAGCACCGCATATGCACGCCAGTGATATTCCACATGTACCTGTCTACTAAAGCACCAAATAACTCTAACGTCTATAGGCTCGCTGAGTTTCTTGTCATCCCTGGGAGAGAACTTGCCTGACTCCCCTCGTGATGCAAAGTGCATTGGATGATCTCTCTATTGGTATGACGAGCAGCGCCACCGTACCAGATTCGCATTCCTCACCTCGATCTCCTGGAGAACCTCTAGACCACGGGGTTCACCCAGACCTGGCGCTTTTGCAACCTGGAGGCAACCCCGAGTAAGTCAAGTCATGAAAGGGTGCATGATATGAATACTAGGAGATTCTGCCACTCTAGGCTGATCGGATTGGTTTGTGTACGTGCTCAAGATTGGGGTGTGCTCTTTGACCGAAGCACGCCAGGAACGAAGTTCTACAAGTTTCGTGTTCTGCCCGTCGAAAAAATAATGAGGGCGGCCTCCAATCACGGTCATGAATCAGTGAATCAACGAAAATTCAACGATTTCCGGACTACGAAAATGGTATACCTTCGCTGCTCTTGGGGAATGGTGAAATTACACACCTGTCGCATAGTGTGCACGTACCATGTAATGCGCAAGATTTGGGTGTGCTTCTCGGCGAGTTGACAGTGGTGCATGTCCGTCACATTGCACTATCGTGCAACCTTTCAATTTTGTTTCCATTCATATTCGTGTAGCGCTGTGTTACCTCATCCTCCACACGTGGCTACAGATTGGTAATGATTCGATGCGAATTGTAGACTAGATGCCCCTGCTGCCAAATGCACATGAAGCATCTAACCACCGAACCACCTCCTCCGCCGCTGTCGGTTTTGATGGTCCCGCGGCGCCTCCAACCGATCTCCTAGAAAAAAGCCGCCGCCGGTCGCCGCCGTCGCTGTTGGTGGCACAGCCGACGCCGCCGCTTCAGCCGCCAACGCGGGCTGTCCGGGTCGTTCTCTCTACCACCGCAGCGGGGGAAAATAGGACCTCCTGAATCGCCGCCGTCGGCGATTGTCCTGCTGCGAATGAACGCTGCCGTTCCCACAACCACCTCAGAGCGACGAACACCCCCCCACGGTGATAACCACGGACGTCCATCGACTCTTAAGGCCCTGATATTGTGCATCGTAGAGGAAGGATCGTTGCCTGATTTGAGGTAGATGCACCTCTCCCCGTTGCTTTGTACCATGGATAAACGGCTTAGGTGACGCAAGCCTGGAACGTTACACATGGGAACGGCTTGAAGCACCGTACCCACCCAACCTTGCATCCCTTCGCGATCAAGGCGATCCTCCGCTCCAAATGACTGTTGGTTTTGGGCCCGTCGACCGGTGTGAGTTGTCGCTGATCAAACTCCTGGTTCACGCACGAGGTGCCGTCGTCGGTCAAATCAACGCCACGCCACGAACGTAACGCGCGCACCACAACCGACCCGCGCTTGTTTCGAGCCCTTCCGTCGTAGCTGTGATGGCCGTATCTGACTGAGGTAGCGGACCAGCCGATCCGATGGCGATGCGTTGAAGAGGCCGCGTTGTGCGACGGGAGCGGCCGATGATCTTGGGGACGGAGCGCTGAATCGCCTTCGCCTCCGCGTGTCCATCGCTCAGTGCTCCCGAGTGCCGGTCACCTTGATGCCCATCTGCTTGACGGTCCTGTAAAGAACCACAGGATGGGCATAGTCGAAGGAGCAGTGAAGATCGTGTCCGCCGATGGTGGGACGTCGATGGTGGGACGTCGATGGTGGGACGTCGATGGTGGGACTGCTGGAGGTGATGCTGCTGTCGCATCCCGTGCAGCGGCTGTTGGTGCAACCACGCGGACACACCATCGGGCTACTGCGGACGATGTTGTATTTGCTGCTGCTGATGCTGCTGCTGCCATTCATAGCGCTGCTGTGGATGATGATGATGAAAATGATGATGCTCTGCTGGGAAACTCGCAGCTGGAATACGGCACCCCATCGCTGCTATGGTTATTGCTGTTGCTGTTGCTGCTGCTGCTGCTGCTGCTGCTGCCAACGCCTTTCTGCGTCACCTTTGGCGGCCTCCGTGGTCCCTGACGGCCACCGCCCTAGCTATATCTTCGTCCCTGCTGCGCTGTCCCGTTTTAGTTGGCCACGTCCTAGGTTCTGATTACAAATCGTTCGTCACCACATTGCCTTTACCTTCATAACTCAGACGTCAACACCCCGCTACTCAGTCGTGATGATGTTCATTGCGGGTGCCAATCCGTCGCTGCAGCCATTGACGAACGTATCATGATATCATGGAAGCATGATCGGACCTTCATGGGCTGAGGCTCACCCAAGCGAAATGCCAGGGTGTATCACTCCTACAATTCTCAGTCCTTTCATTCACAGAAATGCAAACTAAGGTTCAGCAGAAACGACCCTGAAACAGTCCTTCCAAGTAGCATGTATCCCGGCGGGCAGCCACTTTCAGCTGGCCACTGTATCCTGTAGTAACTTGGACTACATGGTGCTGAACTCACGAATAGGCCGTTCGATCATCTGGAAACTTAACGGGTTCGACTAACAGTGTGCAATGCTTTCACAGAATACAATCCCGTGCGCTTGGGCTGATGTAACTAACCAACGGTGGGTGATGGTTCACGGTGATTTAGCAACGCCATGAGCTATCACTCGGGCCAACGCTGTGCCAAGTCGCTGGCTTGATTTCGATGTTCTGGAGTGGAAAACGATCGGTAATATGAGCAATGCTACGGTAGGGGGGACACGTTTTAAGACATGGGTCACATGCTGTCGCCCGACAAGGTCCATATATATGCTTGTAACTCTCTCAATTTTTGCATTTCAAGGAAATCAATTCTGCCCAGGCAGCCGCCTGGCGTATATCTCGCGGTGTGCAAAACAATAAGCATTTTTCCATTGGTTGAGGTAGTACACACCAGTCCGCCAAAACACTCCATGTGACCGAGGGGGTACCCCCTATCGTAGCATCCCTCATATCGAACGCTAGCGTTCTCTAAATTCTTGACGAGCTCCAAGCTCCCTACGTGTACCCCGTCTCAGGGGGAACGGATTGGCCAACTTGTACCTGGTGCCAGTATCAACTTACCCGAAAAAATGCTAGCCCAAGCACAGTTGTACAACCCCGTGTATCCTGTTCATCGAACCTAACACTGTTACAAATTCTGACACGACGCTTGACCTATTGTATCAGACACCACACAGCGCCCATCAAGACATGTGTGTGACTGTCACCCTCTTACCTCCGTCGCTTCGCATATAAGATCGGGAGGGCAGTACATGCCGTACGCCATCTGTTTGTATGCCATATTCTGCCAGTAGTGTTCGGTGAAGTCCAACAGGCGATCGGTCACGGGTACCTGGTGGTCGGCGTATCCGCACCACTGGGAATGTGTCGGGGACGCGCGTAGCCAGCGTGTGTGAGCGTCAGCCACCCCGGAGAGGGTAAATGTTGCTACCGAGAACTTGAAACAGGGTGGAACACCGTCCGTGTGGACATACATGATGTTATTCTCCAAGACGGTGACCCCATTTTATCACACGGGATGCGTGAGACGCCTCTTTGCAAGTGCATCGATGTATTCAACCATCAATCTGAGTCGCCACATCGGTCGGACGTTTTTCACCCACATACCTTCCTTGGCCTCAGTTGCAGATCGTGGTCCTTTGGGCAATAGAAAAATGCCGAGACCAGGCGATCGATGGGGTGTCTCATAAGCGTGAAGTACTCGCAGCCTTTCCTAACAGCCTCCAAAGGAACTCTGGCGCGACCGAGCGGAAACGGAATCGAATGACAAGCAGTTGCGCAACTACGCGCTCACCGGTGACCCTCTCGAGCCGGACACTCCCTTTGGAATGTACTGGTCAACACAGGCAAGCTCAGATGTTGGATCGTTTGCGTGGACCCCGACACAACAACCTGTTGTAAATGTGACAACCTGTGCATTTTCCTTACTCTGATTGTCCTTCCATTCACGTTAGGGGAAGGATCTTTCCGCGGTGGGGGGATGACCATTTGTGTGTATTCTCAACACCGTTCAACTAAAAGGCGGGCAACCGGTATAATTTTTCCCCCCAAGCATTGTCACCCCATCCAGAAGGCTCGAGCAATGCCGAATCCTCTTCAAGATCGAGATTACGGGTGTGATGGAACATAACCAAGACGGACAATTCTTCTCCAACGTATGAACGAAATACTTTTTCAGCACTTCTCTCCGGATTAAACGGGTAGCAACGCAACGAATCGACATTCGCTACTCCCCCTTGTGACGCATCGTGGGACCCCGTTGCTGTGACCGTGCTGTGCTCGTCAATTTTTCATACTTTTAGGATATATGCTTGCCTCATGAGTTCCGCGTAACCAAGGATGATCGCAGAAGAACTGAAGGCTTCCTTGCAAGTGTCAACGCTCTCGGGTCCGCCCGACACGCACAATCCTGCGCCAGAGGACCAAAACGCAGGAACTGAGGAACGATATCTTCACGTCGTTTTCGCGTCGTAAGGAATCATGTCGCTCGCATCCGAGAAAATGACACCGAAAAGTAGATTGACATTGGCATTCGCTGCTGGGTAGTGTTGGAATTGCTTGTACAATATTCAACGACAACTTTGTTCGACTAAACAGGGTTTGATGTGGTACTATGAAGGAGTACTGGGAAGGCGTTGACAAGTCTGTATCCGTCAGGTCAAGACGACCCAGGCGTCTCTGTGGGAAGTTATGAACTCTGTGTTTCATATACCTAAACCTAAACAGCCGTTGTACTGTGGTGTGGTAGGTGAAGCCACATTGCTGTAATGTAGGTAATCTACAGGAATAGCGACAAATTCGATAGGAAGGGTCACGTCGCTAGTGGGAAGAGACGAGACGGGGCTGCAGGAGCCGGATGACATGGTATCTCGATCGGTGTACATTTTTATTATATTCTTTTCACACCTTCGCCCATGCATAGCTAGCTCGCCATGTGTGATGATCCTGTTGCATTTCTGAGTTCGACACTTTGTCTGGAGCGGATATCCGCGCAGTTCGGGCTGCCTCCTACACCTTGGCCCCTTCACCCCCCATGCACACGGGACAAAAGGGTCCTTGAATGTGCGACAGGTAAACTTTCTACGCCACCTTCGGAATGGGGCTGCGAAACTCCAGGCAGAGCGCTCGTCTTTCCTTCGTACCTTTGAACCTAAGACCAAGGTCACCATTGACATCATTTCGGAAATATGTTGGGGATTCGATTCTCTTAGCAATATATTTCCAAGATTTGTGCAACACACCGTGTAGTCCCACCTGGTCTCGGAACACCTGCGATCCGTGAAGACTTGTAGAGGTTGTCCTTGATGGTTGAGCCCGCGCTTTTCACCATGTGGTGGAACACCGTACAGTATTCAGGCGGCTGGTCGGGATCACTCCTCGCGTAGAACTACACACCAAGAGAACAGCGACAATACAACAGGATCTTCAACAAGGATAAATAGGGCGGGTTACGCCCATGGCACCAACCTTGTAACTCACGAGGCTGTGTATGCTACATATAGTGTTGCCTACCATATTCATTCCCCATTTCCTCGTGATCACTTAACTCAAACAGCCCCACGGTCAAGGCTCTGTTTGCAGATGTGCGTAGCAGAAAGGAAAACTGGACGCCCTACGTCGACCTGTACGTGAGCGGTTGTCGCAGCCTTACACAAGCTGAAGTAAGTACACAGCGATGCATTAACGATGGTTGACGCAAATGAACGATCGACCGACGCGAACATGCAGGGTGGGCAGGCCATTGTGAACCTGCAGGAACAGTTCGCCACGTGTCGTGTTCAGAGTTGAAGGTGCTGAGAAATTGTCTCTGAACGTCACAGTTTCCAATTCGGTGTCTTCCTAGGCGATCACTGGTCGTGCTTGTAATTTGTCCATTCATGATCGGTTCTATCGTGCCAGTGCTTTACCAGTCATCTTCCACTTCCGAGCATGGCACGCATGCTGTAGCAACGGAGAGGGTGGTACGCTCCGTCTCGTGGGCAGGCGTGTACCGTAGTATCCCCGAACCTTACCGTATCACTCTCAACTATGATCATGGAAAGGATGGAGACCAACCGGGCGACAAGCAAGATCGACTTCGTGTACGGCGGCATAGCTCCTCCTCCACCAGATCGATGCCCTGGCTCCAGACGGGTTTCTCACTTGTCCTGAAGCACACAAACAATCGCCGACGAAAAATTCAGCTAAGCGTCTCGATACCCAAAAGCGGATCTTGTGGACGAACCCAAATTCCAAAATGAACAATTGAAGTCCTGCCGCACTGTATTTTATCACGAAAAGTGGGTCACGTGCGATCTGCAGCAGATTTACGTTCAGAGCATAGTGCTTCCTGGATCTCTGGAATATACAGACAGGCCTTGCTACACTTGAATACGGGCTCAAGGACCTGTACTTGAGGAATGAGTTTCTGATCGATACGTTTGCTGTAAAATTGTCTTTTCAACGCGCAGTGCGGGATGGAAGATGTGCTGCCAAAACGTGCAAGTAAACGCACACGCCCTGTCATTCCTCTGATCCTCAAGGCCTGATTACTCGGAATTTAAAAGGTGTGACCAACCGAAAAAAAGGCGGGGAAAGATTCCAACGACCCCTTTCAAACGCGCATTTTCCGGCGGTGGCAGAACCTTGGATGTAAGCCATATTCAGTACCGGTAGGCTCGACGGCCTTCATGGGAAGTCGCATGGACCTCCATGGAGTACGAACCTACTTCATGGAATCTCCACACTCAGTTTTTCGAGAACGTTGGTGTTTGCCTGTTGGTTCGGGAGGAATGGGGTTATGCATGTCGGCGTTGGGGGTTAGGGATCCGTCGAGCTTTTGGCTACCTATCCTGATGCAGATGCGAGTTGTTCCAGGAGGCACACCGCCCTGATGAGAGTCGGGCCTGGAACGACGTCGACTGACTAAGACGCTCAGGCGAAGGAGGAGGTAAGGAGGGAGACTCAGTAGTGTATTTAGATGGGCTGAGAAAACTGTCATGGAACATGCCGACATCGGCCCACTGGTCATCCCACGCCCTTTTCGTAAGCCTGGAGCGCTCGTACCTTGACCTTGGTCAAACGTGCCTTAGGATGCGCGGTCTCACAATCAGGCCTTGTCCGGCTGAACCAAGGGGGTACTGACGTCCGTCTTCTTACTTCCAAGTCCCTCAATTCAATAATACCGAAAGGTTGCGAGTCACCGCACGGTCCGCAACAGCACCGTGGATAGCAGCACTACCGATGTTACTTTCGCTCCCAAGCACTTATCCAGCATCGACAGGGCTAACTTCTGTGGTTTACTAATGTGAGCGCGTGTGTCTACGTTGCGCGTGGAGCCTGCACCCGCAGCACAACTGAGGTGTCCGTGTGTCTGCACAGCATTTTCGAGTATCGCATATACCGGAGTTATCGCACAGGGTGTACGTTATATATCGACGATAAACCACAGGGTCCGGAGTCGTTGCACGGTCCGGAGTCATCGCACAGGGGTGCACTGCAAACATAATTGCGAAAATGTTTGTCTATAGACCACATGCACGAGCGGTGACTCGCAACCTTACGGTTTGTCATGCATTTGTGGGTGGGAAAGAACCGCAGATGTGCTCACCCGCTTTCTGTCTGTTTCTCTCTCTTTGTACTCTCGATTCTTCTGAAAGAAGCGCCACTGTTCGCTGATCGTGCATCGAAAATGTATCGGATCCGTCACAGTCTCGTGGTCGAGATCGCCCGAATAGGGTGGACTTCTTCCAAGCCCGCCCGCGGCCATGTATGCAAGCCCCGAAGCAAAACAATGCATGGTGAAACATGGGACAAGGCTGGCCGGAGAATCCAGCAAAACAACAGTAGAGAAACACATCGGACTGCACGTGAAGCTAGTGGTCTCACACACATTTTATGGGCTGCCCCGGTGCCCACTGGCACAGCGTGGCTGGCTTCCCACGGAATCCAATATCCTTTGTATTGGCTCCCGTCCAAGACATGTACAAATGATTATCTCAAAGCTCGTGATACAATCAAGAAAGGGTGTTTCTCTGACGGTTCTCGACGAATACCAACCTCTCGAGTCCCTGAACAAAGGTGCGCGAAAACATGTCTGCGTGCCTAGTTAGGTACCCACGATATTCTAGCTCGTTCATACTTCGACCTTATGCTTACAGGCCCCGCGGGGCGGGGACCCCGTTCTCGTCGGGGTACCCAATGCGAGAGCTGGTATCCCTTCTTCTTGCAACCCCCCCATGTCATGACCAACAGAACGGGCACGTAGCACGACGAGAGCTACGGCCGCTAACAGTATGCGTGAAGCGTTTTCACTACGGTAAGAGCACACAGTGTCTGCAAGTAGACGGGATTGCTGGACCGCTCAAGCAGGACTCGATGGATCACGAAAGGTGCTCGCCCGACGTCGCCTTCCAACCACGCCCATACGGCAAGGTACCACGGTAAGAAGGGCTCTTACCGGCAACTCTCCTATGTGCAGATGCTGGAATAGGGAGCTATTGGGTTCGTGACCTCCCTTACAAAATGTGGCGTTCGGCAGCAGCGGAGGTGGCGGTACTGCTGTGGCTCGTAGGCTTTGTACTCTACCACAGAGGTTACACTGCTGTCACCGCGGTGCTGCTGTAGCTCGTAGACTTTGTAGTCTTATCACGGAGGTTACACTGCTGTGCGATCGGTAGGCCCGAGCGAGCTTCGGAAAGAGAAATGTAGATAGATGTTCTTATCAACTGACTCCCTGGTCAGGATATGATGGGTGCTAGATGAGAGTAAGCACAAAGGGGCGAAGGCGCGCTTGTGTCTCGTCTCAACAACAAAACAAAACAAGCAAAAAACACAGCAGGTTCCGAGGGTCTCCGGGGTATGGGCCCGAGTACCGGAATTTGTCTTTGCCCTCCACGTAGATCCGGTACGTCTTACTGCCAGGTCCGTAACCGCCGAGCTTGCCTTCAACGGCCCGGTCGTCTAGCTTCTTGTATCGCTCGTGATGAACGCACGANTCCCCCCACATGTGTTTTGGGAAGTCTCCATCGCGCAGTAGAGCTCGAGTCACAGCCGCAAGTGTCTGGCCGTCCCTTTCTGTCACTTCAATTTCTTGGGTCGTGTTGGTCGCGGCGAGTTCCAGCTTGATCGCAGACTCCCTACAGTAGTTGCGCATTCCTTCCCCAGTGTTCTCTCCCCCTTTGTCACAGCGTAGAACCTCGATGCGGTAGCCTTCAGATGCTACTTGCATGTTGTAGGCGTGCAGAGCTTGCGTGGTTTCGGTCCTGTGGCACAGTAGGTACACTTCCCGCATTCTGGTAAAAACGTCGGTCGCATTGGCGACGTAGGAGTAGGTGTGTCCGTTGTACTTCGCAGGAGGGTCGATTGGTCCCATGTTGTCGAACTGGACGAGTTGGCCTGGTTTGGTCAGGACACGGGTGGTCTTCTTCGGGACGGGAGCCTTCCTGTGCTTCGTGATGTGGCATTTGTCGCACGGGGATACAGGTCCGTCATATTTTACACCTGTGGCGGGGCTGCGCCGCAAAATCTCCATAGCACTTGAATTGAGGTGGCCGAGGCGCCGGTGCCACTGAGCATGTCGCGTGCGGAGTGTGATCGATCAGTACCGCTTCTGATTTTCCGAACTTCGGCTTGCGCCCTGGATCCTGGTTGTTCGGGGGTGTCCTGCTTGTCGACGCTGGATCGCCCTTGAATGTGATGGCGAGGGTGCACATGCCTTGGTCTTGAGTCTTTTGTTTTAGAGGAACGACGACTTCTCCGCCGATGGTGAGGTGTGGGGTCTTGTCTTCCAGGACACATCGGAGGCCCTTCTTGAGAAGGGCCGTTGGTGCGAAGATGTTCCAGCCTAGTCCTGGCACGATGAGACCTTGTAGCTTGACGGGTAGTTGCTGTTCTTTGTCGTATTTAATGGTGCAGTGTAGGATCCCAGTGGTAGTGCCTCGTAGTTGGCTTTCTCCTGCAACGTCGATGATCTCGGGCGTCGGGCGTTCTTCTTCGACACGTCCATTCGGGATGAGGCAGTTGTCGAACATGGTCTCAGAAGCTCCAGAATCCACCAGTGCTGAAGCCCCAGTCGCAGTTGTTGTGAAAGTGCGTCCGCTTCCCTTGCTGCATGTAGCATGGTAAATGAATCCACCGTTGAATGCATCTTCGTCGTAAGAGAAGTCGATCTCTGCCTTCTCGGTCTTCTCTGTTTCTTTGGAAGATTCCGTTGTGGTAGGCTTGGCGTGTGTGTCTCCTGACTGGGTTGAGCAGTGCATGCAGTGTAAGCATGCGGAGAAAGCCTTGCCCGTGCGTTCTGGTCGCTTGGCTCCTTGGCTGTAACACTCTTCGTCGGAGTGTGTAGTGGTGTTATGGACGGAGCACCACTTGGTTGCTCCCGCAGGCTTCGTCCTCTTTGCCATATGGCCCTTCCACTGGCGATTGGGAGAGTTCCTCCGAGTAACGCCGACAACCACGCCCAATTTCTTCATCCAGTCGTTGAAGTCCTCTGGTTTCGTTCCATCGAACTTGGGGAGTCCTCTGATGACGTTCGCCAGGTTTGTGGATCCATCACTCCAGATGCTACCTCCGCCTCCAGTTCCCGATGTTGCTTCCATTTCTGGTTTTATCCCGATGATCTCGTGTTGCATATTTTTGTTCGTGTATTACTCAGCTATTTGCTCTGAGATTCCTCCAGCCCCGCTCCTTCTATTGATATAGAGGACTCCGGTTGCCAATTCGTGACCCTGCTTCTGAAACCCTTTTCTCACTTAGAGAATTGATGAATAGAACTCCGGTTGTGGGCCAATTCGCGACCCCGCTCCCGATACCCTTTCCCCGCTTAGGGAATAGGTGGATAGGACTACGGTCCCCGGTCGACTTTCGCTGTTGATACAGTCTTCCCTCCTGTCTCTGCCACAGAGGCATTTGCTCGATGTCTACATCGAGGCTTCCCGCGCAACACATTGCTGTTTGTTCACCACAGAGGTACCCACTACTGTTGCAGCAGTGGTAACGTGTGTGTATAGTGAACTTTCAGCCCCTTGGTGTAGATGACCAAGTAGCGCGCTCACTTTCGTTTCCGCTGACCGTTGATGATCTCCCAAATCTCCGAATGCATATTTCCGCTCGAAGTCCACAACAGTAAGATGTCTTGACCTCCGTCATGTCCGCAGCTCCTAGTGTTCGAGTAAAGCGAGGCTCATAACCTTACAAAATGTGGCGTCCTGCAGCAGCGGAGGTGGCGGTACTGCTGCAGCTCGTAGACTTTGTAGTCTATCACAGAGGTTACACTGCTATGAGATCGGTAGGCCCGAGCGAGCTTCGGAAAGAGAAATGTAGATAGATGTTCTTATCAACTGACTCCCTGGTCAGGCTATGATGGGTGCTAGATGAGAGTGAGCACAAGGGGCGAAGGCGCGCTTGTGTCTCCGCTCAACAACAAAAACAAAAAACAAGCAGCAAACACAGCAGGTTCCGAGGGTCTCCGGGGTATGGGCCCGAGTACCGGAATTTCGGGGTTCGAAACAATAAAACAACTACAGTCTCGCCTGCCAAATCATCTCCGCTACAACTCTGTGCTCATGTTCTCTGCTAAGTACCATCTCTTCCTGTATTATGTTCACGTCCTGAAGTTGGAGATGTAGATTGCCTCGCGAGCACTGACGCTCAGCGCTTGAAGTTCGGTCTCCACGGTGTTCTGTGTTACGAGAGTCCCGGCACAAATATGATGAGGATAACCGACATCGAGCGCTGAAACGAGACAAGGAAACCAACAGCAAAGATATTGCAGCAACCTAGGAAGCGAGAGGGCGGCGGCTGACGGACGAGGCGGCGAGGGGAGAAAGTGAAGAAGAGAAAGCACGCGTGAAGCGATATAGACCGAATTGAACTCCTGCGCTGATGCACCCCGCCCCTCCCCGTGATTGCACCATTTCATCAACCCCCCCCGAGGGACAGCATGTCTTGGCGCTTGGTGGTAGCCCTTGGCGTTATGATGTCGTCTGTGACTGTGTGCCTGTTGATAATTTTTCTGCGTCGTTTGGTTTCTGGTTTTTCTTTTGTTTCCGTGTGTTGCTGTCTATCTCTTTCGTCCTGTTCGGTTTCTCCCCGGATGGTCATTTCTTTCTCTCTGTGAAGTGCCAAGATTGCACCAGGGGATGTACCTTCCTCTCTGCCGGTGACGTTGAATTCCAGATTTCCTGCCTAACGTAGCGTGTGTGTAGAGAAGAGCGGAGGGCCCCAGGCTCTCTGTCGTTGGTAACAATTGCGGAGCCTTCGGGTCAATCACGTTTGACTCTAACTTTTTCGTTTACTGTAGTTTGTGTGGGAGCACGGGATCCGCTCGGTGAGCGTTTGACAAGTGTGGACAAACGAAGGTACTGGGTAGGGAAGTCGGATTTTGGTGTGAACATGACACGAGTCTGACATGAGTGAAGGGAGGCAAGGAGAGGAACTCAGGATTGGCGCCGGTAAGTGGACTTTCATCACTGGCTACAGCTGTAGTCTGTTATCATACTATGTACTTGCAGGATGGTCGACGTGTCGTGACACATTTCTTACTTGTAGTTGTGTCTTCACGTCAAAAACCGTTCCGATCTCTTCTACTCAGTACCTTCGTATATACGTGCTGATCCAGCACTCGACGCGGTCGATTCCCGTGGTCACTTAGTCAATAGAAATCAACGCCAGATATTTTGGAGTCCTCCACTCCGTCTGGGCGCTATGCGAGGTAACAACTGAGCCTAGGAGTCACCATCACAGGCCGGAGAGAAAGGAATATACCCCCTTGGTTCAATAATCATGGTACTTCACAACGCAAGCAGAGACACGGCCATCTGGCACAGAAAAAGAGAGACAAAAAGAAGGAAAAGGAAAAAGAGAGACAAACTGAAATACACCGAGGACAAAAGGACCAGGCCGAAAATGACAAGAAATGAGAGACAGAAAAAGGCACACGGTTGAGAGACCACTAATGAACAAGCAAACACGCAAACATGGCCACTAACCGGCGATACATTGTAATGGTACGTCATCACTAGTGGGGGGTTGGTGCAATGGTGCAGCGTTGGGGGGGGGGAAGTGCCTAAAAAAAATTCAATCAAGCACGTATCGCGCCATTAGGTCCGTCTCTTCTCATTTGCTCTCTTCCCTCGCCGCCTCGTCCGTCTCCTGCCCCCCTCCCTCCCCATTGGTTGTTGGCTTGTGGTTTCGATTAAGCGTCCAATTTCGGCTGACCTCTTTGTCCTTCTCATGCCAGGAGGTCATGAACCTGTCAGTCCCTGCAGCACCGCCGCATGCCAGGGTACTCCCCCCTCCACGTTCGCGGCTTCCGTCCACTTCAACTTCGGGGCCGTGTCTTTCGGTACCGGGATTCCGAGACAACATAGATCGGTGTCCGTAGACCCGTGGTCGGCCCCGAATGCCTTCAGGTCGTCAAGCACACACTTCGGCCAGTTCTGTTCCTGTCCCCCCCTTCGTCGCTTCCCCCCTACCCTCCAGCTTGCCAATGCTCCCGCGGAACAATAGGCGTCGTTGTCGGATCAAGGCTTCAACGCTCAGGCCCTCGACCCTCTTCAGCGTCTGGGAGTAAGAGATTTGCCGGTAGGTGTTTTTCTTGCGCTTGTACCCGATGACTCGGAGGAGCAGTCGGTGGTGTATCGACCTCAGCGTCTGATAGTGGCCGCTGAGTGGTGACCATGTCATGCAGCCGCACAGCAGTGCCCTCATCGCCTCCGCCTGGAGCAGGCGGATCTTGAGTCGGGATGGCGCTTTCGGTCTGTCGAAGAACTCCCGGCCATATCCCCTGAGACACGCCCACGCTCCTCTGCTCCTGTAGTTGATCTCCCGGGTGAGGTCGCCATGTTCGTTGACGAGGCCACCGAGGTACCGGAACTGAGTCGTCTGGGCGTATTCTGTTCCGCGGCTTCGATGGTAAGCGGTCAAGGCGGGGGCGGCTGTGATGTTGTAGTCGGCTTGTCCTTCGCCAACACCGTTGGCCCGAACTCCCCGAACACCTTAACGATTATGGTCATCATTCTCGCCAGTCCTTCTGCAGACCTCGATACGACGCCGGCATCATCGGCATACAGCATCCCCCATACTGCCCTCCATACTCGGTCAAGGGGTGTCTCCTTCCCCCCCCGGGCTTCCGTCTTTCCCTCCTCCAAACACACTAGGCTCCGCAGAACAACATCATCCTCGCTGAATCACATGACAACGAATTCGAGGACGTCGGCAAGAAGATGTTGAACAGCAGTAGGGATAGCGCACATCCTTGTCGCACGCCCTGTGTCACGAAGAACCAGTACGATAGTTTTCCGTCGCCCATGCGCACCCGGGCCCGCATTCCATCGTGGAATTGGCGGATGACTTTGATAAGCTTCGCGGGAATCCCGGCTCTGGCCAGCACCTTCCAATGCATCTCTCGGTCCACCGAATCGCACGCCTTCTTCAAGTCGACAAAGCACATGTAGAGCGGTATTCTCTTGCTCCGCCCCAGCTCCTGGAGGCGGCGCACGACGAACAGCTTGTCGTCGGTGGATCGCCCGGGTCGAAATCCGCACTGTTCCTCCGGAAGAATGTTGTTTGCTTCGCAGTGCGGATTTCTTGGTAGGGACCTCGCCTACATGAGATAGTATCGAAATCCCCCTGTAGTTGTTGCAGTTGGACCGGTCACCCTTCTTGTTCAGCACCTTCATGGTTGCATCCTTCCACTCTCGCAGGATATCTCTCGCCGTTCCACACCTTGACGAGGATGGTATGGAGGTGTCCCAGGACGAAGAGCGTCATCGATCTTGAGCAATTCGGAAGGGAGGGAGTCATGGCCGGGTGCCTTCCAGTTCTTGAGGCCTTTCGTTGCCCGTGCCACTTCCTCAAGTCCTGGAACCTCTCGCAACCGTTGAGTGTCACGTGTCGCTGGCCGCTGCGTCGCTCGTTCGATGATGTCTGGGTTCAGGGTGGGAGATTTTGTGTTGAGTAGGGTGCTGAAGAATCTCGCCCACCGCTGGAGGATGTCGTTCCTGTTCCGGAGCAACACGCCGTTCTCATCCGCGAAGAATTGCTGTCCTCCCGCTTGTCTCCCGCTGAGGCCCACTGATCTCTTGAGGTGTTGGTACAGTCCTCGCATGTCGCGATCTTCGTAGATTGCTTCGAGTTCAGGCGACTTCGCAGGTCCTCCCCTGGGGTCGTCCACGCTGCTTCGAGGAAAGCATTCGAAAAGTCGGTCGCCAATTCCGCGGCGNCTGGAGGATGTCGTTCCTGTTCCGGAGCAACACGCCGTTCTCATCCGCGAAGAATTGCTGTCCTCCCGCTTGTCTCCCGCTGAGGCCCACTGATCTCTTGAGGTGTTGGTACAGTCCTCGCATGTCGCGATCTTCGTAGATTGCTTCGAGTTCAGGCGACTTCGCAGGTCCTCCCCTGGGGTCGTCCACGCTGCTTCGAGGAGAGCATTGGAAAAGTCGGTCGCCAATTCCGCGGCGGTGGTTGTTCGGTCGTCCAGTCGTGTGTCGAGGTTGAGGAGGAACCGATAAGTCACCGCACACCGTGCTGCTCCAAACTGCAGTTCGCATTGCTTATGTTTCGGTTTAGTCCGGACTGCACGGTTGTGGGCAAGCCTGCCACCGAGGTTGACTACCATATTGTGGTCTGAGTCTGCTTTGACTGGGCGAACCGGCTGGGGGATGACAACACGTTAGATACTCAGCCGTGATGTGCCTGCCTTGTCAGGACGTAGTCAAGGCGCTTGCAATCGGATCACGACACACCGTTGTATGTGTGCCATATCCCGCCCTTGAGTGTTTCGAAGAACGTGTTCGTCAGAGCTAGCCTGTTTTTCGGTGCGAAGTTTAACAGTAGCATGCCATTGTCGTTGAGCTTATCAGGCCCGTACATTCCTATTTCTCTTCCATCCCCTCCGTCAAACCTATCTCCCGTCCGCGCGTTGGCGTCCAGTAGGACATACACACATTCTTTGGAAGGGATCCTCCGCACGAAACTGTCAAGTTTTCCCCAGAACACCCGTTGGCGGTTGAAGGTTCGGTTGGAGCATACGCGGCTACGAAGTTGACCGCTCCACGGTGGCCTGCCAACAGAAACATCATGGCCATAAGGCGTTCGTCGATAAACTCCGTAGTGAACGTGGATGTCTTGCACAGTGGCTCTTCGACGGCTATCCCCACACCATGGACTCCACCAGTCTCCGTGCCACAGCAGATGCCCGGAATCCCGCTGCTGCAAATTCCGTTCGACCTGCCCTCCGTGTCTGCTGCATTCCAACCACCGATGCGTCCTGTCTCGCTGCCTCGTGCAGAACGCTGCAGGCACGCCCGTATCCATTGGCCCCGTTTACAGTTAAGTCCGCACATTCCTGGTTGCGACCCTAAGAATAGTACAGTATTAAGTATGGGAAACAACAAATCGTAGCTCGAAATGTTTTTTTTTGGCTACAACAGTATGGACCAGACACCGGCGAAGGTTCACGTTCAGTCACGCGTACCCGCATAAAGAACGCCGACACGCGTGGCAACAACAGTGGGCGTAGACGCGGAGCACGCGTAGGTGGTAGTGTTAGACTTACTGCAGGCCAAACACGGGTAGCGCAGCTTTGCCGTTGTAGCACGCATGTATGCACACCACGCTGTTTTTGACTCTTACAGTACTGGGCTCGCTGTAATGTCGATTGAACAGTGCCAATGCCCGGTATTGTGCCGGTAAAATCTCTGGATACAGAAAGCGCCCTCAATAGTGCCTGTTCGGCACTATTGAGGGAGGACCCTCTATAGTGCCGGTTGGGCACCACGGCGCCCCGCAATAGTGCCGGTTCACACACACACGCCCGCTGACACACACACGAAGACAGCGGACACACGCAGCACAAAGGGTACACGTGCTGCTGCAGACCCGAAGAGTTCTACGCAGAGGCGCACCATCCCTTGTGCGGAAGGTGAACTGTGCCTTCAACAAGACCGGACGCCGCAACCCCCTCATGGCCACCCCTGCAAGGGAGGATGTGGCGGGCGGCTCCACGGCAATTGCGGCAGCGTGTTTGAGGACAACGAGCAGCACCGCATCTGCAGCACGTGTGTCGCCAGGACTAGCAACTTCTGCAGCAGTGAGGGAGAGGGTGGAGGACTTCAAGGCCGGCGAGAGGTGGGGGAATAACTTCGTGAAACGCAACAAGACGAAGGTCAACTACAGGAAGGAGCTGCTCGATGTGAAGACATCAACCATGTTGGTGGCTAACAATCTTACGCGCCCAGGCCAAAGCCCGCAAGATGAAGGCCGGGACAATGGGGCTAGCGCAAGGGCACCAACCTCACGTTCGGGACGCCGCTGAACTTCTCCAGAAAGCATTNGCCGGCGAGAGGTGGGGGAATAACTTCGTGAAACGCAACAAGACGAAGGTCAACTACAGGAAGGAGCTGCTCGATGTGAAGACATCAACCATGTTGGTGGCTAACAATCTTACGCGCCCAGGCCAAAGCCCGCAAGATGAAGGCCGGGACAATGGGGCTAGCGCAAGGGCACCAACCTCACGTTCGGGACGCCGCTGAACTTCTCCAGAAAGCATTGGCCAGCGTCACCGCCCAAGACATCGCCAGGTGAGTTTTGAACATGTGATATCGCTGTTTTAAATGTGTAGCTCGCGCAAGTGCGCATTGCTTTGGTGGTACGTTACGTGGGTAAGGTTGTACGGATAGGTTTTTTTTTCGACTGAATATTCCCCCAACTGCAAATCTGCTTGTTTCTTTGCTAAAAAAAGGCGCTCTCTCGCATCCCTATGAGTCATTGTCACTGGGTTCGTCAAACACCGCTCCTCCACCCAAACACGGATGCATCACAATTTCTGCGCTACCTGGCCAGGTGCTTTGTCGAAGCCGAGACGCTTCCGGAGGAGGTGGCGGCTGAGCTCACCAAGCAACACGGGAAGACCCGGTTCAACGTCGCCGAGCCTGACCTGAAGGCTCTCGCAGAGACTGTCAACATGTTGAGCACCAACGTGCAAGGCGCGCAGAAGCAGGGATCCCGCGTCGTGGACGAGGAGATCAGCGAACTGTTGGCAGAACTCAACATCGAACCCGAAAAGCCGGTCGCGGGGGAAGCGTTGGCCGCGATTCAGGGGTGGGCTACCATCGAGGACGACGAGGAGGTGGTAGAGGCTCTTCGATTGGACGCGGTGGCAGACATGACAGCACTGCTGGCTGGAACGAACTTGTCTACCGGCGGCGACGACGAGGAAGACGAACAGGACCAGGGCGGTGGCGGTGAGAACACGGGGCGCGAGCGCCGTGCCCCACGTGCGCCACCGGGTTATGAAGAACTGCCGTCTCACTTCGGCGCCCTGGAATTGGCAGCAGAGGACAATGGCAACGGAGACGCGGCGTTCTACCGAACGAAAGCGAAGATGTCGATGATCGCAGCGCATTCCGCTAGGCGGGAGCGCCAGACGGGCATTAGAGGATTCGTCGCGACGTAGAGATCATGGTTGTTTCTTTTTATTGCGGTTCGCTTCCTGTCGTGTACTTGTAGTTTTTTTTTTTTCCGTGGAACATCGAGGCGGGTACGCCAGGCAGACACTCCAGTGTCGCGACGTAGTTTGGGGGCGAGATACAACTGTAGTGCAGTAGTATTGATTTTTGTTTTCTTACAGTGCGCTTCCTGTCGTGTTTCTTTTTCTGTTTTGTCTTTTGTATCTTGCAACATCGAAGGAGGGGCTCTAGGGCTGAGATATAGCTACGTCAACTCTGTACGAACGGGAGCTTTACAAGCATCTTGCCGTCAACAGCAGTTCCGACAGTTCAGGGTGTGCAGTACAGTGCATGTGCTGAGGCAGGCAGATAATAACGGTGCAACATGCGAGTGTGAAATATTTTTCACAACTCGCCCTCTGTGTGCGACAGGGGGGAACCATACCTGTCGCGAGAAAGGATGCCTACGCCCACGAAAGACCTTTACTAAGTTTGATCCATTTCGTACTCTGTTAGCCCCGCAACACATGAGCGCCACAGCATGAAATCAAACATCGCCTCAATAGTGCCGGACCGGCTCTATTGAGGGATATTCGAAACCTCGAAAGCGCAGAATCGGCACTATGGAGGCCCTATTCTGATTAGTGCCGGTGCCCTCAATAGTGACGATATCATCTCTGAACACATACCGGCACTATAGCGGGCCCAGTACTGTATGTGACTTCCCCGGATCTTCCGAGTTATTTTTTCAACTGGGCGAAGAGACCGCTGACATCATCAAGGCTGCTGTGGAACACACGCGCTTTTCAACCACCGTCTCCCGTTCTCTACACACACCTACCTACTGGCATCTCCCGCATTCACACGAGTGCACATGGCCGCATCAACACGCCACTCCCTTTTCACACAAACAATTGCTACATAGCAGCAGACAAACACACATCAGGGGTCTCATCGGTGACTGCTGTAGGTGCTGGGCGTGAACTGGGGCTCAATCGAGAGAGGCAGACACCGTTGTCTTCACCCCGCACTGCTGCTGCTGTGAACTGAACATGGGTATCCACATGGCATAGCTCTAGTATTATCACTGCTGTCCGCCCCCGGCCGAAGCAGCACACCCCGCCCGCGAGGCATGGCACCTGCTAACGTTCCACTCAGTGCTCCTCCGTTGGGAGCGACGAGACATATCCACGCTGCCAACACGGGGCAACAGGGCCGCAGGCCGAACCCGAGATCAACACCCTTGCGGAAAGGAGGACCGTCGCGCAGCAGCACCCCGGTCTCTGCGGGTACCATCACTCTCGCTGCCTCGAGGCGGTCGACCATTGCCAAGGCAGCCGAGAGGAGCTCAGGAGGGGCGGTCACGACGAAGCGTTTACGGAATCAAGTGAGTCGCGAAAGTACCACCCCGATAAGTGTATGTTGCCTGTAGCTGGCTGGCTGGCTCTAGCCCCAACACGTATGCATCGCAGGAGAATGTCTTTCATGTGAGGATTCTGTACGACATCGAAATAGTCTCGTGCATGTTGTTCGCGTCTTCGTGCGTTCCAACATGTGGACATGTAGAGAAAAATACATGTATATGCTTACGCCCCTTGTCTATTTACTGTAGAACTCTTTTTTCATCTTGCTACAAGAGGAAGCCTACATTTATTTGTGTAGTACATGCTCGAAATCATCACATCCTGCATGTTGTGACGGGTGCAAGAGTGCCCATGGCAGCTGCTAGAGAATGCGAGGTACTTGGTCGCGGAAGAACGGCGATACACACGTGAGCAGTGTTTCATTTGTGTGCACTAGAAGGTTAATGTATGTAAAATTCGAACTTCAATGGCGACATGCGGTATGGCGTGGATCAAGGCAGCTGCGAGAGCGAAGTCATGACCACACGAAGTGAAAAGGAGAGAGGGACAAGCGACGTCGGCGATTCCACCCCCAACCCTAATAGAATGCTCCAGCAGTGCTGTCGAAACACATACATATGGTGCGCAACACGTCGATACCCCGGGGCATGCCGAGAGATAGGGTGGTATCTCCTGTATCATGGAACGGGGAGAGTCCGTCGAAGGCAGAAAAGGAGTAACCCCGTTGTCGAGGGACCGAAAATATCCTTCATGTAGTTCGAAAGGAGGAACGTCCACATTGCGTGTACGCGTCCGTCCCTCACAGGCTACTGAAGCTATCGTTCGTTAGCTCTCGATTCTTCCCCAACGAACTGGAGTACACTCTGAAACCGACAACCGACATCCATGTTTTTCCTGCCCACGATGTGCAGGCTTCGTTCGACACGAGCATTCAGATGAATGCAAAGGGTCGCGGCGTGCAGATCACGAGGAGCGACTGCTTCACGCAGGCGTGCCGCCAGTGTGGGCGGGAAATAAACCCGTGCCAGCGGCCATTGCAGACGCATTCCTGTCGTGATATTTGGTGGTGTGTGATAGGCTGTTCATGGGGCGTGAGGGATGGGGTGTGTGCTGGACGACTTCTTACTCACGAGGATTTGGAAGAATTGCGCGTCGATATCCATGAACATGCCGTGATTTTATTCATTGCTGGTCTACGCCCTCCTATGGGTGTGACCAGAACATGTGCAAGATGCACCACCGCTACTTTCACCGACGCGTGCCTTGCCGACACCATTTATCGAAATTAGTTCAGCGAACTCAACAACATGCGGAGACACGACGCCCGGTAAGCCACGCACAATCCTTGACGGTCTGCTCGATCTGGAACCAACCAGCAAGAAAAACATGGATGGGGACGAGGTGGCAGGGGACAGACGAAGCACCTGGGTTAGGCAACACACTATCCACAGCAGCAACGACGCACTGGAAAGAGAGCGTCAGCCCCTGTCAACTAAACAGTACACAAGCCCCAAGTACCTCCCTGACCGGTGGAAGAAACCTTTGTGATGTATCGAATACGAAAGGCGCCAACGCAAATCGCTGCATGTTGTCAAGCACGAAATCGAGAACTCCAAAACACGACAAACCAGTTTGACCGACGGCTACACGAGCGAGACACCCGACATCAGAACACGGCGATCAACATGAATCTGGGAAACAACAAAAAAATAAGGTCACCTGTACGGTAGAGGTGCGAATTGGCCGTCGCCGCCGTCGCCGTCCTCCTTCTTAGGCTCCCCGACGGCGGCGCGAGGTTGGGCGATGTGGATGGAGCTGCACAGAATGACTTCCTTCGAGTCGAGCCACTGCACCAATGCGCCATTGCCGGCGCGGGCAAAGTGCACCTCTCCCGCTCGGCGGTGCGGCGATCAAGGCTCTGCAAATAAGGCACGGAACCACCCATTCGGTTAGACCGGCACGTATCCACCGCGAAGATGTCGTAGCTCGCGAGACACTCGAAAAGGATCGGGCTTGTGAATAGTTGTCCATTGCGATGTGCACGCCAGAGCCGTCGATCTTGTCGCCGGACTTCTTGCAGGCGTCGAGCGGGACATGTAGGACGTGGCGAGTGGTCCGCCCCAGTGGGCAGTCGAACCAGGCCCTCAGTCTCGGGTCCCCGTTCATTCCACCGTCGATGTTGCTCACGAGACAATACCCCTCGATGTCGCAGATCGCGAATAGCTTCATGCCTGGAATTTGAATGACATGAGCAGGGAAGGACGATGGAACAAATTGTCAAGCGGCGCGCCAATAGCTCACCGGTGAATTGAGCGTTTGCACTCAATGCGAGGATGCCGCCACAAGCTCGATCGGCTTTCGGACGGATATCGACCAGACGGTTACAGTATCCCCCTTGTTGAGCAACGTAATTTCTTGCGCAGTGGAACAAGCGCGCTTTGAAAATCGGCCCAACGTGCGTGACATCTCATGTCACCTACGGAATATTCACCACACGCACGCAACGACGGCATCGTGGGTGGCCTTCAGTTACAGGCATCACGGGCGGCCTAGAGTTCCCCCGGCGAATACTGTGTTGTGAAACCCTCCCCCTCCCCTCCCCCCGTCGCTTGGCAACGACGTTGTAACACAAGACAATTCACTTCGTGAACTCGGCAACCAGGTTGTCGTTTTTGTTGTTCCCTCCATTTTTTTGCGGTAACCGTGAATGGTGGCGAGTAGATCATGTTGTGGGGGTCGAGAACCCTCACTCCGCGCGGGGGGGATGATCGCACCACGTTGTTTTAAAACGGTCAAGCTTCCTCGAGGCAGTTCACACAGAGCTTACAACCGTCTCTGGAAGTGAAAACACCAGAAAATATAATAAGTCATATCATTCTTGAGACCGATGCATCCCCGACGGGATGCCGCAATGTGCCGATAGAAATGGCATCACTGAGACCGAACATGCAATGTGAATGCCACTGAAAGGACTCGTCGCGAGTGTGGACGATGGAGTGCGAGGTTCACTGCTGAGCGTGTGTATGTCGGTGTCGTTTCTTCATTGGTGAACACCACTACCATTCATCCCTCCCCACAAAGTTTGGAGTTACCAAGTATTTGTTGTTCATAATCCACGCAAGGGGGGCGGGGTCAACTAAAAAAATAAAATTCCCACTACATGAGGTTCTTCAAAACCGAACATGATACAAGGTCTCGACACTATTCCGAGTGGTTTGTACCCTGTTCTTGTTTCCTTCCCCGCGGTGTCGCATGTGCCGGGTTTTTGCGACCACGGGCTCCCCATTTTTGTGGACTATAGAGCAAATGTGAGAAACAACAACAACAACAACAACAACAACAATAAACTATAACTATCCGCCGAGCCCTTCCAACGCAAGCCCGGCACAAAAACAGAATCAAACTCGCTAGGAATAGCTTTTCGACACCATACACGAAACTCGTACCGTGGGTGATGCGATTCTTGGGGTTGTGTCTCATGAGGTGGTGCGCGAACGTCGACGCGGTCTTCACCATCTGCTCGTCGTAGCATAGCCACTGGTTGAAGTCCATGATTTCCGTCCATGCGTTTTTCAAGATGTGTTCCAGTTGTCTACCGGTGAAGCCCCGTCAAGAAATGAACGAGAGAAATTTGCAGGGATTTATGGCGTTAGGTACAATAGTGCGAAAAATGTGTGGGACATCAATGGACATGCCAACGTACCCCCTGTGAATTACACACTATCCAGGCGAATCCGTTGCTATGATAGTCTACTTGTTGTTCCCCGACATGTTGAACCCTTCTGGGTCTGGGAGCTATGTTACTCGCCGCTCTGTCACTCCCAGGTTCTGTTTCGACATTCGTTTTTTCACCACACAAAAGACAGCGGGTGGAGAGAGTGCGGGAGAGAGGGAGCAGTGCAGAGAGAAAGACAAAGTAAGTGTTCTGTAGACGCCACAACACTTTTTGACTCTCAACTTTACACTACCATAATATCTACTGTCTGCTCTATGATCCGCCTGTTCGTGCGGACAATACCAACAGAAAAGGCTACTCGAACACAAACGTACCTTCATACCCAGCGCCCTCCTCTTGGTGGTCAGCCAGAACGTCCGCTTGTAACCCCGCTCCGGAATCTTCTTCATGGCCGTGACCAAGTTGTTCCGGTTCTGCGACATGGTAGCGAAGGCGCCCGGAGTTTGCTTGTGGTCCAAGTCCCCCCCACCGATGCTGCCGTCTTTGTCGTTGGCATTCGAGGATTTCCTCTCACCAGTCGGTGTAGTCTTGCCATTTCTTCTGGCACCTCTCCCCTCCCCTGGTGCAGCCCCCGCCTTCCCTGGCGCAACCCCCGCTTTCCGCTTCCCTGGCGCAACCACCACCTTGTGCTTCCCTCATGCATCGCCGGCCTTGTGCTTCCCTGATGCATCCCCGGCCTTGTGCTTCTCGTTCTCCGCTGTCTGTCTCGCGGTAGGTCACTTCACCACAACTTTCGGCCCGAGATTTCCCTTTTTTTTCTTGACAGCTCCAGCCTTTCCCCGCGCCTCCCGACTGCTGCTGCTACTGCTGTTGCTGCCGCGGGGGAGAGGTCCCATGCCGAACTCGGGATGGTCCTCCTCTTCTCCGCCTACCATTATGGACCCTCCCGCCTTCCCGCCTGCTGTGTAAATCGCTGACGGCATCAACGTCACCATTCTTAGTTGCAGCTTCGCTGATGCAACGACTTCGACGAAGGCAGCAATTGCATCGGGTCCAAGCTGCAGACGGTCGAAGTGGTTGAGGTTATGGCTTTCCTTGCGTGCTAGCCATGGATTTGCGTGCTCGATAGAGTACATGCACCCAGTGGTCTCCTTCCTCGTCCATTTTGTCTTCTTTCTCGAACAAGAACATGCCTGCCATGTTGTTTCCTGAGTACACCTGGACTGTGCCGTGCTCAGCGCTTGGCTCCCACACCATGATATTCTCGCAGTATTCCGAGGCCAGGAAAGGACATCCAGGTAACGTCAACCCACTCCTCCGCACTTCGCCAGGCTAGATCGCAAAACCACCTAACCGTCTTATCCCTCGCAACCATCCCGTGTTATCCCCCAAAACATGTGGCACCTTCACACTCAGGGCCCACCCAAGTTGTTCCTTTGAGAGTACCGCTGTCGAGTCCTCAGGGACAGCGGCCAACGGTGACACGCGTGTTGGTTGAATCCGACAACAACTGCTTTGGAGACGAAGTTCTTGGAATGATTAACCTAATATAATTCTGCCCACGAAATGAAATGGTCGAGAAGTGGTGTATGACAGTCCAACGTGAATGTAGTGAATGATTGAAAGCATCGCCCATAGCCGCGCAGCACACGTCGGCCGTTCTCGCAGACCTTCTCGACATCTGTCACACCTTAGGTCGCCCCCGCCCACTGGGGGCGCGGGGGCCAATGCTTCGCCCTCCCGTGCCCTTTCGCTCTTCGCGAACGTCTCCACCTCTTCTCGTCTTCGTTGCGTCTCCGTACATCGTCCCTTCTTGCTACTTGTAACGTGTCGTCTTCCCTCTTTTTATGCCTGACTCCCCCCCACACCCTCACGGTCATCCATCCCGGTGTGGCCGCGTCATCTTTCTTCTTATTCCTGACTTCCCCCCAAACCCTCACCGTCATCAGTCCCGGTGTGGCCGCCCGCCCCATTCGGGGGCGGGGGGGCAATCCTTCACCCTTGTCTCTGTATACGTAAAGAAGTAGCTTTAATCCATCAAAGCCTCGATCCAACTCGCCCCTACCTTCGTTCCCGCAAGCGATTCTCCCGTACAGTGTGGAGAGGAATATGGTCAGAAGTAGGTCAATGGTGATGCGTGTCACGACGGACAGGGTGATGACGAGTTCATCCACTGTGATTTCGTCTTCTGTACGTCTTGCATTGCCACCGGTGGGAGAGATTTCATCATTTGAACCCGAGTGACATTTTCTTCCACGTGTTTTTTTCTTACAGTAGTAGGAAAACTAATAACTAAGGTTAACAGCTTTGGGTCTAGGCTACTCGCCAGCCGAACGGGTGGTCCGCAGGCCGCATATTCCCGTTCTATACATGTAGAATTTTTTTTCACCACAAAAAAAGAAAAATGCGTGCCGTACATGCCCCCATGCATCAGTCACAAAAAATAAGTTGATGACGAATATATACACACCCCGAGACGCGCTTGCTCCGCAACCACATAAGGGTGCCATAATAGAACACCCGACGAACAGAGTTCCTCCAAATCTTCCGTCCACAACTTCCCAACAGAACATACAGATAGATACACAAGATGGCTACCAAACTGCCCTGTTGAGCCTGTTACCCACAGGGGAGATATCGTTGTACGCTGTCGGCGAAACCGTGGACATGTAGCTTTTCGCTCACGCTCTGGATTCATTGGTAATCTATCTTAGACATATTTCTGTAGAGATGAATTTTTTTGTTGTATGATACTCCAAAGAAAAAAAAAAAATGCGGCGGGAGGCAGTGCAGAGGGAGATGGAAGTGCAGCAAGAAGATACACGAGTGTCCAACAGACCGGGTTGTAGGGGCACTTTTGCAAACCTATTTGAGATTTATTTTGGCACGAGTTGCAACCTCCCCACCTTGGGTAATCCTCGCAATGCAATGATGGCCAGGTTGTGCAAGGTATACCTTGCTTGGGGGTTGCGCACTGCTGACAAGGCGGATTGGGGCCAGATTGCCACTGTCGGTGCAAGGGTACCTTTTCTTGATGGTTAGCTCACTACCTACAAGCCGAGTAGGGGGCAAGTTGCCGATGGCAACACAAGGTGTACCCTTTCTCGCAGGTTGGCTCACTACCTACAAGCCGAGTAGGGGGCAGGTTGCCGATGGCAGCACAAGGTGTACATTTTCTTGCAGGTTGGCTCACTACCTACAAGCCGAATAGGGGGCAGGTTACCGGTGGCAGCACAAGGTGTACATTTTCTTGCAGGTTGGCTCACTACCTACAAGCCGAGTAGGGGGCAGGTTGCCGATGGCAGCACAAGGTGTACATTTTCTTGCAGGTTGGCTCACTACCTACAAGCCGCTTAGGGGGCAAGTTGACGATGGCAACACAAGGTGTACCCATTCTTGCAGGTTGGCTCACTACCTACAAGCCGAGTAGGGGGCAGGTTGCCGATGGCAGCACAAGGTGTACATTTTCTTGCAGGTTGGCTCACTACTTACAGGTCGAGTATGGGGCAGGTTGCCGATGGTAGCGCAGAGTGTACCCTCTTTTGGAGGTTGGTCCACTGCCGTCAAGCCGATCGCCTATTATAGATCCTTGGAGTCTTGTGGTAGCGGATTCAATCCCCCCTGCCACTTGAGTTTTTCAGATGGATTTCTCCATTTTTTTCTTCTGATGCGGGCATGAAACTCACTGGAATATTTCAATTAGAATCATACTCGTACAATACCGAATTTGAAACTCACCACCAGCGAAGTCCATCATGGAGATGGTTCACAAGGTTAGCTCAAAAATATCCTCTCCCAACAATATATAACCTTGTACGTTTCGCCCCTAAAGTCGCATTGCTCGAAGAACTTACGACGGCCCCCTAAGGTTCGTAAAGTATCAATAATGAAAAATAAATGGCGAGGAGGACAAGAGACAGACAGACAGACAGATTCCAAACGCCGTCGCACACGCAGTAAAGAAAAACCTCGATTCGCATCCCGCGCCAACTAGAGTGACACATCGCAGCATTGTACGACTATGAAGAAAACGGCAAGACATCATGCTTCACAGGAGTACTGCGGTACAGTATTTACGCTCCGAACACCACATAAAAACGCCCCCTCCCCCCTGCTAGGGTTCGACTGCATGTGAATACACCATGAAAACGGACAAGAAGATAAGAGGCAATAGCCACACAGATCCCCAACGGCGTTGCAGACGCAGCTAATAAAACACGTGTCTAGCATCCCGCGCCAGCGAGAGCGACACATTACAGCATTGTAGGTAAGATTCAAGAGAAAACAGCAAGACATGATAGCAAAGACGTATCTACGCTCCGAGCACCACATGGAAACGCCCAAACCCCCCTTCGAGACTTAGTATCTATATTAATACACAATAACGGCGTAGACAAGAGGCAGCAGCCACACAGATCCCGAACGCCGTCGAAAACGCAGTTGAGAAAACACGTGGCTCGCATCTCGTGCCAGCGAGGGCGACATAGCACAGCATTGTGTGATTCAAAATAACATATTCAGACATAATTCCTAACGGGAGTACTGCGGAGACTGCGGTAAGGGACGTATGTACGCTCGGAGGACCACATCAAAAGTTCCCCCCCCACCCCACCCCTGCATGCACAACTTTTGAGTACACNAGGGCGACATAGCACAGCATTGTGTGATTCAAAATAACATATTCAGACATAATTCCTAACGGGAGTACTGCGGAGACTGCGGTAAGGGACGTATGTACGCTCGGAGGACCACATCAAAAGTTCCCCCCCCACCCCACCCCTGCATGCACAACTTTTGAGTACACCCCCCCCTCTTGCAGGTAGGGTTCGTATGAATGAACAACAACGGCGAGGAAGACAAGAGGCAGCGGCTACGGATGCCAACCGCCGTCGCAAATGCTATGAAAATACACGACTCTCATCCCGCGCCAGCGAGAGCGACAAACCTATCACAGCATTGTGTGATTCAAATGAAACTTCCAGGGGATTCAAACGTTTCTCTGCCTCCTCCTTCAATGCTCCGTGCAGTTGTAGACGTAATAAGGACCCGGGCCATGCGTTACACGACGAAGCAGTGGAAATCCGGGCGACTGGACCTGGAGGTTAACGACCGGAAGAGAAATTTGATTCAAGTGTCAGGCAAAGGCGGGTAGTGGAAAACCACGGAGCGATCTACGCAAGTCTGTAGAACTGAAGGCGGGCTAGGTAATCTTGTAAAAAAAAAATCCCGAGGGCGAACAGGCACCTTGTAATGGGGGAGAGAGTGTGAGGGGCACCGCGTGCAAGACAAAAAGTCCGAAAAAACACACGCAACCACCCAATGTCATCGCAGGCAGAGGGAGGGAAGGGGCGCGTTTCAAAGAGGGTACGAAACATATACCAGGCCGAAACACACCTTGGCACACGGCTTAGAGTTCCACCGAGGATTCGGACTCCGCGTCGTCACGATTACCACCCCTGTTCTGACCCGGAGATGAACCATCCCCGTCTCCGTCTTTGTCGGTGCCTCCACCCCAGTCTTCATCCCCGCCTCCACCCCCGTTCTCCTGGGACCTTCCGCTCCCGTTTTCCTGGGACCCTCTGGCCCCGTTCTCCTGGGAACCTCCGCCCCCGTTTTCCTGGGACCCCCTTCGCCGGTTCCCCTGCGACCCTCCGCCCTCTCCCTTGTCCTCGAATAGGTATGGCTTGAGGTAGCGCCTCGCATCCTCCGCACTTCGAATGCTGTCGGGCTCGGGGATGTCGCCAAGGTATTCCTCACCGAATTCCATGTACTTGGCCCAGAAGCTGATATAAGAACAACGATTATACCGCCAGTTTATAAACGTGCGGGAGATTCATCACTCAAAAACCTTTTGTCAACCAAATGCGTCTCGACTCATGCATAGGAGCGGCTACAGCCCCCCCTAAACCTGCGGCGAAATAATGAACACTTGAGCGGGAGACAAGCCACAGAAGAAGTAACCAATCGTAAAAACTTTGGGGCAGACCTTGCAGGACCGCTGTTGTGCAGACAAATAAACTTACGAACGCCGCGGGAGGCAGGGATGGGTTGATAAATACGCCAGTGTCACAGAGTTACAGTCAGGTTATCGAAACAATAGCAACATACGTTTCGCGGATGACATGGTACTTGTCGCCGCCGCTGTGCTTTCCACCAAAGGCCTTCTCCAGGAATTCTTTGACCACGGGGAAGGTGCGGTACTTGTCGGGGTCGGTCTTGTCCGAGGTTTTATGGCCTGGCGTTAGCCTCCTGGCGTTGATGACATCCCGGGAGACGTACAGCTCCATCTCCTGTAAAGCTACCTCCATCGTCGGCTGCAGAATCTTCGAAAGATGATCAGTCCATGTCGCCGCGTTTGGGGGGGGGGGGGGGGNGGGGGGGGGGGGGGGGGGTCGTGGTGCTTAGCGGGAAATACGCTAGATTGTTGGATGCACCAGAGTAAATTTAGGGGTTGGTGAGCTGGAAACGCGCAGGGACACAAAAAGGGGCGGAGCGAATATGGACAGCAGCAGTTATCACGACGTGATGGCACACGTGGGTATTGGACCAAATGCACCAAATACCACGGGAGCTAGTTTGAGGGTCGAAGAAGTGGTACAATAGCGCGAAAGGGCGGAGAGCGAAACGGTTCAATATACTAATGACATGGTGATGCACATCGTATGTAGCTTCGCAATGACACTTTGGATTGCTGCACTGTAGGCCCGCTCGATAAGCGCTTCCGATAAAGACACAGTCACAACCCAACAGAGGTCGCGTGCATCAACATTAGTCTTCATCGGTCTACACATACATTGCAAGGAATAGTTGCATGCGCTCGTTCATAATCCTACTGCCAAGAGTCTGAGAAGCGGGGCAGGCAATACCTGGTGCCAAGGTGCGGAGCCAGGGCAACTGTACACCTCGTAGGAGGACATCGTTTTCATGGTCTCGTCCTTCGCTACGGGAACGCCGTGTTTTGCGGGGCCTAGACCCTTTGAGAACATGGCGGTCCCGAGGCCGCGCATGGCGGCCTCCGGCTGTAGAGATAGAGTGGGCGGAGGACGGGAAGTCAACAGGTGGTGAAAGGCAACTCATTCGGAGGTGGCGAAAGGGGGTAGGTGGGGGTGGTCCATGGTAAGGGCGAAGCCGGGTGTAGGATATGCCGTAATCGCCCGTGTCGTGCACACGGGGAGGAGATGCTTGTTGCGTTTCAGATGACCTCCGTGCCGTACACAATACCGAAGAGCAGGAGGCCGAGTCGTTTTGTCTGTTACATTACCCACAACGGAACTGCCATGACGGGAACCGGGAAGAAGAGAAAATGCAACAGACGCAGTGGAAAAACGAGCGAGCGTTACAAAGGGAAACCAGATCCTTGGTCCAATCCGGTCAAGATATCAACCCCAAAAGTACGAAAGTGATCAAGAGAGCATGGCGGGCTTAACGAACGTTGGGTGGCGTGTTTTTTCCGACTTTCTGTTATGCGCACATGCGCGGGGCTTACCGCAGCCTTGGAGCCCCGAAATTGGTTCATTTCCGGAAAATAGAATCAGCAAAGTTATACCGCCCGTGACCTGATGCCCCAAGACCGAAGAATCTTGAGACCGAACCAGACAACAGCATCAATATCCCGTCAACAATAGATAATCTCGAAGAAAACGCATATTCTGACGAAAAATATACGGCGGGGGGGGGGGGGGCTCTACTTTTCGTGAACACGATCTCCACCGGGGAGAAGACGAGTTATCGTGGGGTGGATGCGACACCGACAACTACATGATGACATCGGGCCCGACGCGACGGCGTATGAAACAAACCAAAAGCCATGACACCAAACCTCCCCTCAACGAGACGAACCAACCACCCTAGAGTTCTGGCATTCTCAAGTACNACCGGGGCGAATACGAGTTATCGTGGGGTGGGTGCGACACCGATAACTACATGACGACATCGGGCCCGACGCGACGGCGTATAAAACAAACCAAAAGCCATGACACCAAACCTCCCACAACGAGACGAACCACCCTAGGTTTTTGGAATTCTCAAGTATGTCACTCCGCATCCCCCAATGGATCGGGCAACCTTAGTCCCACGACGCTAGTTGAACGCGCTGTTCTCGTAATACAAGCAAGTGTCAAAGCGAAAACTGCCCGACCTGCATGCATGCATCCCACCTGCCGCTCCATTTGGGTGGTCATTGTATCTGCAATGTAGGCCGACGTGATCTCACGTCCTGGCGAGCCATCGTCCTCCGTGTGATCGTGGGTGACCTTCTTTAGCATGGCCAACATGCTTGTGCGGAGCGCGGCCCGTGTTACGCGCCACGTCGTCGACTTCATGGGCGCTACGAAAACGGCAACCTCCTCTGGAATCGAGGTGTCCGATCCCATACCGGACGGGTGAGTCCGAGTGCGAGGGGGGTGGGTGGAGTTGGTGAGCGCAGTTGAAAGCTTACGGCCTGCTGCAGGAGGCGTTATGCTGTACGAGTCGGAGAGATGGCACCGAAATACGGAAAATAACAAGAACGGCATGATTTAGTTGTGTCTCCGCTGTGCGACCTTAGCGACCCGAAATAATTCAAGACTGATCAATTTAGGACAAGCCATAAAGAGGTGCACACGATCCCCCTTTTCATGTGGCGACAGTCTCAGTGGAGCACCACTCATTCATGTACGTGTGCGCGGCAAGCGCGGTTCGCGCGGGGTTACCTGGTGTTTTCATCTGGTGGTTGCCACACGTACCGTACACGACCGAAGTACACAACGTACGAGCGATACCTACCCCCACGTTAGGTGGGGCGATGTAGTGCACTGTATTTATTTGGAAACGCAAGGCTGGACGACAGTAGGAGATAGCCTGGTACCGCATGAGCCACTACCAAGGATGGAAACTTTACTCTGTCGTCCTTGCCATGCCATAGACACTTGTTGCAACAAAACCCACGACCACTCGCTGCATAGAACCTGCTACTAAGGCCTACGTAATATGTACGGAACATCGCTCGTCGCCTGCTTGCAACATGGCACCAGGGTGCGACACAAGGCACGAGGAAAGGACGTTCAACAACACGGTTGAGGAGGTTTACCAGGTGGTGGAGCTTGACGAAAAAGCGCAGGGCCGAAATCATGGCGAATCGGAACTTACTCGAGAGCTCGGTCTGGGTGATGGGTCGCTCCTGGTCCCATTCACCCCACATGTACCCAACCATCTTCAGCAGGCTGTGCTCCCTGCAGTCGATCGTCGTCAGGCAGATGCCCTTGAAGTATGCCATGAACGGCAAAATGAGGTGGAAGGCGGCGCTTTTAAACGCCGTCTTCTTGTTTTCTGGTTCGGCCTTCGCCTTGCCAAGATCCGATTGGGAAGCGAACTGGAGCGAAAACATGCAAAAGCGGCAGGGCGTGAGGTGGTTGCATTGTTGTAGTAATCAATGGAAGTGGCATTGCTGAAAGAAGTTANAACGGCAAAATGAGGTGGAAGGCGGCGCTTTTAAACGCCGTCTTCTTGTTTTCTGGTTCGGCCTTCGCCTTGCCAAGATCCGATTGGGAAGCGAACTGGAGCGAAAACATGCAAAAGCGGCAGGGCGTGAGGTGGTTGCATTGTTGTAGTAATCAATGGAAGTGGCATTGCTGAAAGAAGTTAACATCCTGACCAGGGGTGTACGCGAGCAAAATACAAGAGATACGTGAGCTCAGTGCATCGAAGAAAGCACGTGCGTGTGCGTAATTTTGAACTTTTTCGGGTGGGAGGGGTGGGGTGGGGTGGGGGCATATTGAATGGCCATTCCGGAGTTTTATGCGGCTGCATTGTGACTGGGGCGCGGACATGAAACAGATTTCCCGGGATGCATGCTGAGATATTTCCGCTGATGCTGTCCGATACTTTAATGTGTGTGCATGTCATCCGGGCTTAGTAGGGAACCCCGAGAGGTGGCGGCAGAACCTGCGCGCGACCCCTGACCTTGCCTTCGGAATCTTTTCAAGCACACCCCGAATATCCTTGTGGATCAGTTTTGAGTTGTGGAAAGGATACTTGTTCGTTAACAGCAATAAAATATGTAGGTGCACGCTTGTGTACAGTACAAACTCTTGGTCGCGGGTAACTAATAGAACAAAACTGTCAAAAATTTCGTCGAGACATATAAATCGAACGCGCAGGGATCACGAACTTCCAACCTGAGTGGCTTGTTGGTTTGACATGATTCAGTAAAATANCACAGCAATAAAATCTGTAGGTGCACGCTTGTGTACAATACAAACTCTTGGTCGCGGGTAACTCCGACAAAGCTGTCAAATATTTCGTCGAGAGATATGAATCGAACGCGCAGGGATCACGAACTTCCAACCTGAGAGTGGCTTGTGTGTGTACGGTGATTCAATCAAAGGTTTGGAAATGAATTCCCGACGCCCACGTGCGGGGGGCTTTCGTATCCGACATCTACGTTCGAAGATACCCTCGTCCGACCACCTAGAGATGTACACGTCTCAGGACCGTAAATTGCTTGTGGCTCCTTTCTCCGTCAAACGCTTCGGATTGGTTGGATGCTTTGACGTGTAGTCTCTTGNGGGGGGCTTTCGTATCCGACATCTACGTTCGAAAATACCCTCGTCCGACCACCTATAGGTGTACACGTCTCAGGACCGTAAATTGGTTGTGGCTCCTTTCTCCGTCAAACGCTTCGGATTGGTTGGATGCTTTGACGTGTAGTCTCTCACCATCAGGCCTTCGGCTTTGGCCAGGCGGCAAAGCACTGCCGAACGTAGCGCCGGTCACCACTCCATGACGTGCATGGCGTCCAACATGGCGTCGGCGGCCTCAGGGATACAAGAGGCAACTGCTTGCTTCGATGTCGCCTTCCGCGAGTTTGACAACAAGCAGACACGTCGGGGCAGGCACGTGGATGTCAGATGCGTGTGCTGTGGATGAAGGGGGGGAGGCCGTTTGACCTGTGTCCCACGCACGAAGTAAACATGCTAGTTTAAAATAGTTTTTTTTTTGAAAAAGTGGGGCCCGTTAGGGGTGGGTGCGCTTTTTGTTTTGTTTTGCAAAAAAAACGCTGTTTAGAGGGATCGTGTGTGGAGTATGTACACACGAGAAAAAGAATAATTTTCATGCACAGGGGCGTGAAAATTTAGCCATGGCTGTCTG